AAGTCTATAGCTAATTAATTCTAATATGCAAGGGAGCTGTCTTCTTGCTGGATCCCTAGAAGTGTAGGTGCTGAGTATCCAGGTAGTATCGAGTCTTATGCGGGAGGATGACCTGATGAGAACAGACCCGGGAGGTTAGTTTACTAGTTAACTAACTGTAACTAATAATGATTCGGTTTACGTTAATCCAGAAATTCCATATTATTCAACTAACTAGATTTCAACCCGAAATATCTACACTCAACAACCACTAATTAAACTAAATTAAACTATTATAGGATTAGGGCAGTTTGTTCTTTTAATGTTCAAGAGTACTGCAATTGTTGTGCGGTGGCGGAGCTCGTGAGCATAGCATAGGTCTAGGGACCCAGGGACAAGGGATTGAATGACTCGTGTGTTTTTGCTTCTCTTTCTCATTCACAGGCAATATATCCTGATATTGCTTCTTTATTAAAGGGATATTAATTATTCTGTATTCATAGGCCTAAATAATGTGATCAAGGCTCTTTATTAAGCCTTGAAAAGAACTTTCAAGACTTGTCTCCTAAAATTCTTAGCTTATTAACACTTGTCTATGCGACTGACAGAGCTTGCTAGATAATTGTAAAATTCAGAATAACTGAAGTTGCTATAACTAATATCTAACTACTGAATGATTTTATTAAATTTAAATAAATACTTTAAAACTTTTAAATATATTATAAAGTACTTGAGAAATTCATCTTCTTAATAATATTAAATTTAAGCTGTTTTTACTATTCAATTAAGTTTTATATCTTTATTTTAAAATTATAAAGATATTTTTAATAAATTATTTAAATTTTATTAATTAATTTTTTTAAATATTTTAACTTTGAATAATAAATAAAAATAAAATCATTATAATATATTTATTTTTAAATTTTAAATTATATAATTTTTAATAGTAATATTTATTAATATATTAAAAAATAAATATAAAATATTATAAAATAAAAAATAATTAATTATATAATTAAAATTTATTATTATATATTATAATTAATATATTATTAAATTATACTTATATAATCATAATAAAAAATTTTATAAATTTATTATATAGTTAATATTTTATAAATAATAAAAAATTATAATAAGATCAATTATATTTTAGTTGATAGTTAAAAAAGCTTATAATTAAATTCATAAGATTTAACACAGTGATTGTGAAAACATATTTCTTTCTGTAGAGGGCTTTCAGCCACATTTTCTGAAATAACTGTAACCATCACTTGCTCACACCTATTGAGAATTGAACGATGCACTCAGCTATCTGCTGGTTTTCAGTTGATTCAATTTGAAGAAATGGGCCTTTTTGAAAATTCGTGTTACGTTGCTTTGCATTACACAGATCTGCTATCAGTTAACAGCTCTAGTATAATATTAGAAGGTAAAAAAGAAAGAGAAAAGAAATCAAGGAAAAGGTAAATTTTAATAATATGATGTCAATGTAGAAGAATTTGAGGCGAGATAGCTGAGCATTTCAAGGGAAAGGCTTAAGTAGTTAACTAGCCCAAGACATCCATTATCTACTAACCTGTGGGAAAGCAGAAATAATGTCCCAGAACATCATGGCTGCTCAGAAGACTTTTAAAAGATCTTTCTTTTTTAATTCAACACAATGTGTCTTTATCTCTTCAAAAAATATATATATAAATAAATAAATAAAAATAAAATTTAAGAAAAGCAACAATTTTATGACCAATGTTCAGCAAGACGAACGCCCGGGACCCACCAAACCTTACTGATGGCATCATATGTATTTGTAACTGGTTGATGGGGATGTCAGCGCGGCAGACAACAGGTTGTTTTGGCTCAAAGGCTTGTTTGTATCTGGAATACAGCTAATTAACGTCCAACTTCACGCAATCTAATTAGTATTTTAACGCCAAAACATGCTTCCCTTCGCTTCAACTTTCAACTTTTCTTCCCTTGCTTTCTTCAAACTCGGGACTTTGCTTTAACTTTCTCCCTCCTCTATCTTCTCCTTTGCTTTCTATTTTCTTTCTAATCTCTTTCTCCTCTCCTCTCAATCCATAGGTGGTTATTCTTGTTTTGACCTTTTGCAGTTTTCTTCCCCAAATCATGGTTATCTCTCTCAGATTAGGGAGTCTTGTTCTCCGCTCCTCCTCCTTATCCACCAAACCCGCTGTCCAGTCCGCTGCGTTCAGAGGCCTGCGGTACTACTCCTCTTCTAAAACTAAGGTTCATTAATTCTCCCTTGGCTTAATTTACTTCTTCCAGTCCTCACCTGTGTTAAAATGTATGCGCTGACCTGACCTGGTTTTGTTTTGGTTCTTAGTCCCTCAAGGATACATTTGCAGAGAAAATCCCAGCTGAGGCTGAGAAGGTAAAGAAGCTTAGAAAGTATGAATGATTTAATTATTAGCTGGGTCGGTCCTACAATTCGATCTGACTCTCTGTCAATAGGGACTATGGGAGCAAGGTCATAGGCGAAGTTACCCTCGGCCAAGTCTATGGGGGTGCTCGTGGAATCAAATCGCTTGTTTGGGAGGTATAGATCTATCCGGGGATTTACGGGATTGTCACATCAAAAATACTGACGAAGTTCAAAGGGATCTGTCCTCGATTCTGAGGAGGGAATTCGCTTCCGGGGCATGACTGTATGTTTTCCTGCTAAATCCTTCAATATCATTATCAGAATCCACGAGCTAATACCTCCGCTAGATCCCTGAGTGTCAGAAACTTCTCCCCAAAGCCCCTGGGGGTGAGGAGCCTCTGCCAGAAGGTGCTGCATACATGACACCAGGTGCGATGACTTTGTGCTAATGGTCCGATAGGTCTTTTCTGGCTGCTCTTGACCGGTGAGGTCCCAAGTGAGGAGCAAGTCCGCGCACTCTCTGCTGAATGGGCAGCCCGATCCGACGTGCCCAAGTTCGTTGAGGAGCTGATCGACCGCTGTCCCTCCACTCTGCACCCCATGGCGCAATTCTCCCTGGCCGTCACCGCCCTTGAACACGAGTCTGCTTTCGCCAAAGCGTACGCCAAGGGCATCAATAAGAAGGACTACTGGCAGTACACCTTCGAAGACTCGATGGACCTGATTGCCAAGTTGCCCACCATTGCCGCCAAGATCTACCGCAACGTCTTCAAGGATGGCAAGGTCGCGCCAGTCCAGCAGGACAAGGATTACGGTTTCAACTTGGCCAACCAGCTCGGATATGGAGAGAACAAGGACTTTGTTGAGCTGATACGCCTGTACCTGACCATCCACTCTGACCATGAGGGTGGAAATGTCAGTGCCCACGCCACCCATTTGGTTGGAAGCGCATTGAGTTCTCCTATGCTCTCTCTCGCTGCTGGTCTTAATGGTCTCGCAGGTCCCCTTCACGGATTGTAAGTTACATACACAGTTATAACCCGTCAATCAAGCGAACAACCTTTACTAATACAATTTACTCCCATAGGGCCAATCAGGAAGTTCTCGTATGGCTTCAGAAGATGAAAAAGGCCATTGGCAACAATGTCAGCGACAAGGCTGTCACAGACTACCTCTGGTCCACCCTGAACGCCGGCCAGGTTATCCCAGGCTATGGCCACGCCGTTCTCCGCAAGACTGACCCCCGTTACACATGCCAACGTGAATTTGCCCTCCGCAAATTGCCCGATGACCCTATGTTCAAGCTGGTTAGCCAAGTTTACAAGATTGCGCCTGGCGTCCTGACTGAGCACGGCAAGGTATGAAACCCCCACCCCTCCCAACTCTATTTGACATTTTCTTTTTTACAACTTCAAAACTAACTTAATCGCGCGATTTAAAGACGGCCAACCCACACCCTAACGTGGACAGCCACTCCGGAGTTCTCCTTCAATATTACGGTTTGACAGAATCCAGCTACTATACCGTGTTGTTCGGCGTCTCCCGGGCCCTCGGAGTTCTCTCACAGCTAATTATCGACCGTGCATTGGGAATGCCCATCGAACGACCCAAGAGCTTTAGCACTGAGGACTATGCCAAACTTGTTGGTGTTCAACTGTAAAAAAAATAGACCTGTAATACCATCTCATGAAAGTGATCTTTTTCTCTTCTTTAGAATAGCATTTGTTTGTTCTTGTTTCTGTGTGGCCCTATTTCGGAGAAAATTCTTTTTTGTTGAGGGGGTATTTAAAATTTTTGTTTAATTATACATGTACTATACAAACAAAGTCTACTATTATAAGAAAATCATCAAGATACGGATCATGTGGAAATTTCTATCCAGTTTTCCAAGGAGGGTTTAAAACTAGGAGGATGGATTCATCCGAAATTCAGTGATTACTCAGCAAAAATCTTGCATTTCACGTGGAGTTCCCAACACGGCTAGCGCTGGTCACCAGAAACGGGATTTTCCTTTGCGGCTCTGTTCCCCTCAAACTTCAATTTCTTAATTTTCAACCTCATCCAACAACTCTCGACTCTTCTCATCCATCCCACATCCATCACCACCTTTCTTGCTCTTCATCCATCTTTCGTTCATCTCTCTTTATATATCACAGCGCCCCTGTACCGCCTATTTCGCTGTTGTACTCGTATTCACTGCTTCGCGTTGATCGCCTCTGGCCCCTCTACTCACATTGCCTGTCGTAGGTTTAGGGTTTTCTGGGTCTTTGTAGTGACTTCTCGTTCGCACGCCACGACCATAACATCAGGACTCCCTTCATACAGTTCGATTCTCCGTATCATCTTCTCTCATCACTTAGATACTACTTTCTACGCTTTACCTGGATCACCGCCTTTACCTTATTACTCGTCAACGTCGCTCTCGCGTACAGTAGATAAAAAGAGAAGTTGGCTTGGACGACTTTAAACAACCCATTTATCTCGAACATTATACACCTGTCCAAAAAAATTCATTTGAAAGGGACGAACAATCAATCATTTTCCTACCCCACTCTTTGCGACCTGGAACAAGTTTGTGGTCATTTATCCATTTTTGGACTGGTAGCAACTGTTAAAGAAACCCAACCCCCTTCCAGCCATGTCGTCTGCTGTAGCAGAGTTAGATGGCTATCTGCAGTCCATGCTAGCGCTTAAGGCCCCAGGAGCATCAGGTTCCAAGGTCCAAAGTATCAACGCTCTATGTGCGGCCAATGTACAGGTATGGCCCAAACTCTAGTCTTTCAAAAGAAAAAAAAAATCAACCCTTCTCAACGCCAAAGCTATACTCTAACATCCTATGTTTTCAACTATACAGTCCGAATCTGTCCTCGTTCAAAAAATATATACCCACTTCAAAAGAGCCCCCGCAACACACAAGCTGGGTGTACTCTATGTCGTAGACTCTGTAACTCGACACTGGCTAGAATCAGCCCGGAAAGCCGGTCAAAGTGTTGGTAGCGGTGCACCAGATGGAACATTTGCGGCTGGTGTTAACAGAATGACTGAATTGCTTCCCGTCCTGATGACTGATATCATAAACAATGCTCCTGAGGATCACAAGGTACGCGTACTCTTAGACACAATGCAAATGCAGACGAAGAATATCAGCAGCCGCAAGTTGCAATTACATTATAAAAAAGTCGTGCACAACGGCATTATACCATCAGTTTCGGATGGCCGTGCGTCGACCTTAGAGAAGAAACATTCTCCCCTCCACGTATATTCCCATTCGTTTAGCACGAAACTGCCGTTTTATATTCTATGTCTCTTTTACACTTGGTCACATAGACTATCTCATTCTTTCACTTCCGGCCTTTGATTATCTCTGATTTTGCATCTTGACATGCCGTGACTGAATAATTCCCACTTACGTATGAACTGTTTTCTCTTTTTAGGACAAAATCAAGAAATTGGTGGACATTTGGGAACGTGGATACACCTTCCCGGCGGATATGATCTCTTCCTTCAAGGAAAAGCTAACTGCACCAGTATCTCAAAGTAAGCTATATTTTCCCCCTGGATTTTATAAACCGAACGATCTCTTCTTTTCTCGCCATTTTTCCAATTTCCCAATGTCTTAAAAGAACACCATGGGAACAAAACGGGAAAAGAAGCCAAAATCAAGCCAAATGTATAGGCAAATAACGAGCCAGAAGAGGCATCTGTAGGGTATGTGTGAACCCAGATTTTCTGATGTATGAAATTATCTTTTAGACCTGCAATCAACTACCCCCGAAGGATCACCGGCCCCCAATTTTATCCCCATAGGCGGATCGCAGCAAGCCGCCCCCTCATCATCTGCCACAGTGCCAGATACCTCTAGCATTTTGAAGGCCTTGGCGGATATGGCAAAAAGCAATACAGCTGCTCCAGCATCAACCTCAGGTGTACCAGCGCAAACTAGTTCCCATAGTATATATAATACGCAGACTTCAGTTCCACAACCCGTGCCCGCGTCCGTAGACCAGGCTGCGCAACAACCTAACGGGCAGGCTGTAAACCCCTATGCTGTGGGCAACATTGCAAATCAATTCGCGAGCTTGAGTAACATGGCTCAGAATCCAAATATGTTTCCAAATCAAACACAAACTCCAGCTAATGCTGGGAATCCCCTGGCAGCGGCAGCGGCAGCGGCTGCAGCAGCACAAAACCCGCTTGCCGCGCTGATGCCTCAAGCTGGGGCTCTGCCTCCAGATACACTGCAGCAATTAAGTCTGCTTCAACTAATGGCTGCACAGGGTATTCCTCAAGAGCAGTGGGCAACTGCTTTGCAAATTCTAAGTCTCTCCAACTCCGCAAATACTGGCATGGCCAACGTGAACCCTGCCGCAGCCCTAGCAGCCTTTTCCCAGCAGCCCGCCGCTAGTCAGAATAACGCCTGGGGCTCCCAACCCCAGGACTCATCATCACGTGATCGTGACCGAGACCACCGGGGTAGAGACCATAGTGATCGAGACGACTATGTACGGTCCCCGCAAGGAGGATATCGACGCCGCTCCAGATCGCCTGGATGGGATAGACGTCGTGACGTTTCCCCCCCACGGCGTCGCGACAGCCCCGTGTACGGGGAATATCATGGAGATTCTCCGGGGAGGAATCGGGACCCCCGCGACGCCCGTGGACGACGGGCGCCTGGTGAGTATCGTCAGCGCAGCCCGCCTGGGAGACGCCGGAGAAGCCCGACTCCTCCTCGTAAGGAGACTGCTCTTCCTCCTCCCGGACCAAAGTTTCTGGAATGGGACTATTCGATTGGCCAGGGGAACATTAGAGGTATATCTCACTGCCTTCTTTTTTGCTTTATATTAGCGTCTGTGAATATAATACTGAAGATTGCTTTTTATACAGTTCTCAGCAGAACCCTTTTTGTCGGTGGCGTAACGTAAGTTTACTCTTTTTATTCTTACGACCCAGAGAACTTGATACTGACAAGGAATGGATAGGTCGTCTGAATCCCACCTAAGATCTCTTTTTGGTCGCTACGGCATCGTCCAAACATGTATAGTGAACATTGACAAGCGTCACGCTTTCGTGAAGATGATCAACAGACGCGACGCCGTTACAGCCCGCGAGGGGATGGAGCAGTACAAGTCTGGCGACATGCAATTACGAGTAAGTTTTAGCCTGCCACCAGACAACCTCTAGTACCTGTAATTCCTTTCTCATGAAGAGTAATTTATTCTAACTTTCATCCACCAGACACGATGGGGTGTCGGATTCGGCCCGCGAGACTGCAGTGACTACCAAACCGGCATCAGCGTCATCCCCATCGAACGCCTCACAGACGCAGACCGCAAATGGATGCTGAGCGCAGAGTACGGCGGGACGGGCGGAAAGCCCATTGAGAGTTTTATGGTTGTGGAAGAGCCCGATATTGAGATCGGGGCTGGCGTGTCTTCGAAGGGTACATAGATCACCCCAAGTTGAATACGAACAACGAAACAAAAACTAACACACCCAACAGCTATAAGCCGACGCATGGCCACCGACCAAGGCGGGAAACGCGGTCCCCAATCGACACGTACTAACGTGGAACCAGAACGCTTCCGCCGTCCCAACCGCGGCCCAATGGATGACGGCCACGGCCATGGTCCCGCTCACGGTGGGTACGGCGGTCACGGCGGTCACGGACACAACCAGGGCCACGGCCATGGAGGGCAAGGCAGCAATGGCAGCGGCGATCGTAACGGTGATCGCAGCGAGTGCGACGGCTCCTCAAGCGCCAATAACGCAAACGCAATCGGCGTCCCTCCCCCCGTGCCTGGTTTTGGCTTTTCGTTTCCCGGTATGCCAATGTTCCCACCTGGGTTTATGCTTCCAGGTGCTACTGGCGCGGGTGCACAGGGGCAACAGGGACAGAGACAGGGACAGGCTGCTGAGTCGTCGTCGACCCCTGGACAGAGTTAGTAGGTCGGCAGGGAATGATGCAGGTTGGGATGTAGCAGGTAGAGGTGAGGAGCAGTTGTTGTGTGCAGTGTTGATATTTTGATATAATCTTTCTTATCCTTAGTGTTGTAATCCTGATTCTTTTTCCCCCCCCCCCCCCCCCCCCCCCCCCCTTTCCTTTCCTCTCTTGTTTCTTGTTTCACTTCCTCCTGGTCGCCCACCCCATACATACTGTGTGGTGTACTGCGGCTTGGTTGGTCTAAAATGTTGTTTAGCTTTGTCTCATTTCATTTCTTTCCTCCGATTTCCCAACTCCAACTCATTGGCAGGGACACGGTACTGCAGACGTTTTCAATGATGTATTTCCCCCTTTTCTTCATGTTTTCTTCTACTTCGAAGACTGTTCTCTCTTTAAATCAGTTATAATCATTTCTCTTCCCATGGTTTGGCTCTCTTTCTTGTTTTCACTTCATTTCTTATTTCCTCATTCACTTTGTTCATGTTCTGCTTCTCACTTTTTTGCCCATATTGTTTTAATATATTTTTTAATTTTTGCTCCTTTCTCTCCATTCAATATTGTGTGTATGAGTGAGTTGAGCGGTGCGTTCTCTGATCTGATTATGATTTCAAGTTCAATTCTGTTCCTAGTTGAGCACAGAACACAGACAAATTACAGAATCATAAATCTGTTCCTTTTGATGTTTGATAAACTTGCTCGGTTTCTTATCATATCACTCTCCTTTGTCTAAGCCTCTGCGCTCTGTTCCGACTCCTGAATATCTTCACCTCCTTTGGTTGCAGAAAAGACCTTTCATAATGTCCATATACACAAGTGAAGGGACATGTTAATGAAACAGCATAATGATAGGAAGGTTTATGAATTTGGTATTGCTGATAGCATCAGTCTTTGTTTTATCTGATACCATCAATTCCAGCTGAATCTCTCCTCTGACGTTTACCATAGAATTTCATGTCAACCCCACCCCCACTTAACATTCACGGTGACCCCTTATAAACAGACCACAAAGATAAACTTAGATACATCAAATCAAACAATATATCTTCGCATATTTTTTCTAAATTAAACAAAAAAGTTCAAAAGACATAAGTGCAAAGAACACACTCCCTTGTGAGTTCGGTCCCATTATCATTCGTTAAATAACTAATAACATCCCCCGCGAAGACCAACATTTGCCAAAAAAAAAAAAAAAAAAAAAAAAAAAAAAATTACAAAGCGGAGAAAACCCCACATAACCCAATAGCAATAGCAATAGCAATAGCAATAGTCTTATACACAATCAAGAAATTGAAACATTGAATTAAATCTGAAAGAGAGGGAACGGTTGTGCGGCATCTTGGAGGCTACTGCTGGCCACCGTATTAATTGCCGCTGCGCCGAACAAGAAAAAAGTCCAAAGGTAATATGTATGTAGCCTTATCTCCTGCCCTGCTCACTAATATTCGTCCTTTTTTTAACATTTCCAACAAAAATTCAAGGAAAAATTAACATTTGTAGGGCTGAGGCTGTTACAAATCTCTCTCCATCATTCTTTTGTTCGGCATTTGAAGATCTGAAATCGGGGCCGAAACTCGGCTTCGCCGTTGGCGAGAGCTGAGTGGAAAGTAGGTTGTAGGTAAAAGATTGTATTGATTCATATGTTTCTTGTTTAGCTGGTCTGGGGGATATCTTTGATAGGTTAAGGGAACAATAGACAAGCCAGTTGTGGAAATGTCATTGTATGGTAGGTCTACTACTTGATTTTATTTGTCTGAGAAAAACAAGTCGATAGGCTTCAGCCATAACTAACTGCCTCAGCCGAGGGTGAATAAATACTGCACATGAGATCAGAGGACAGTATTCAAGGCGCCCAGCTAACACACTCGGGAATTCGGGGGGTTCCTCTATTGGACCGTAAGAGATATTGTGTTATGCATGGCATAACTAATATATCTCCGACTTATCCTCTCTCAGTCCCAGCGAAAAAGGGGGGGTGGGAAACGTAGGAATGAAAAGAGATATCAAAGCCACGGTTAACAGCGTTACATCATCGACCTCTTGTGGGTCTATTGAATACCAGCTTTTACATCGTTCCATAAAATGCGGCACTGATAAACATTTACTTGCAACTATCTAATAACCGCAGTATGAATGTTGACTTTATGCAGTATTCAACGGGCAAGATATATACACAATATCATACGACAACAACACCCTGCACGCACCCCTAATGCGAAGAACGATTAATTTTGAAAAGAAAGGAATCACAATTCTACATCTTTATATACGGCCGCTTCAGAAGCCTAGGACAAACTGTCCCTAACCTCTATTCTAATAGATGATGGAAAAAATACCATCCTGCACAAATAAAAAAAAAAAAAAAAAAGGAAGAGCAAAATCCAAGCTTTCCCAAGCTTTTTTTTTGAACGGCGCCAGCGGCCCACGCATGCGTCCTGCTGCTTCATCACGCTGTCACAGGCTCACTGTCAAATTTTCGACAGTGCACACTCTCTGCATTCATTCAAAGATAGTTAGTAAGCAAAACCCAGAAGGATCTCCTCGTTCAACGTCGGAGAGACAACTGCAGCCGATAGCGTTGGTATGAGCGTGGATTGGACATGCTCTGAGAGCCCAGGCGGTCAGTTGAACAGCAGACGCGAGGACAGCACTGAGATATATAAAAATGGGAAATAACGAAAGAAGAAAAAAGAGGAAGAAATAAGAATAAAAAAGCCAACGAAAACCGTCGTCTTAAAATCAAGCTTTCACCTGTGCGCTCGCATGGCGAGGTGGGGAGTGTTTGATTTGGGCGAACACAGAAACAAGGGGGGAAGCTCCAAGCTCTGAAATTCCCTCTTGTTGATGGGATGCTGCGTGTTCTGTGTGTGGGGAGTTGAATATGATCACACTCCAGGAAGATAGCGATCATCAACAACTCGGGGTTCAAAGAAGAGGTTAACTGCCTTACATCTGAGCGGGAACTTACTCCGTACCCGAGGCCAAAGACGAGCGGACTCTCTCCGGGTCCATTGCTGGTTGCTTAGGGGTCATTGCGGCTATATTTAATGAGCAGAAATTAGTTACCGGTCAATCGATTCAAGAGCAATGGTATCTCTGTATTGATTTTGAATTTTTGGAAAAAGGTTGCTGCCGGATTGCTGCGAAATTGTCCTTGGGGATATGAATGATAGTAGTTAACGTACGGGAGACAACCTCGTTTCCTGCGGGACATTCGAAGTGACGGGGATTAATTCAATTCTGGCATTTCCCACACCCCCTAGCGGCGCTGTTGGCCTTTTTCCTTTTTCCTTTTTTTTTTTTTTTTTTTTTTTTTTTTTTTTTTTTTTCGCTTGCTGTCACTGCCCGTCATCATCACCACCCAAGAAAGCTCAACGTATGGAGTAAGTCAAGGCATAATAACCACGACAAAATAAAAATAAAAAGCTCGTGTAATGACAGTTTTATCCCTCAAAAGTGGCCCACCTTGTTGCTCACAACTTCACCGCCAATTGTAATAAAAAAAACTTTCCCCCCTCTCAGTCAATTATTTCCCGCCTTATTTTCCCTCAGGCATCCTGGAAAAAAAAAAAAAAAAAAAAAAAAAAATTCACACCCTGGACAGGAACCCGGGTCGTTCGCAGCGGATTTAAGCAGCCTTGGGAAGGTTAGCAGAATGAACACCCCAATTCCTTCTTCCCAAATCACCCTAATAATAATCGTGGTGGATCTATTCGGCATGTCGAAGCCAATCGAATCCCGATAGAAACGTGGAAAAACTTCCTTTTTTTATTTTTATTTTTTATTTTTTATTTATTTATTTATTTATTTTATTTTATTTTATTTTATTTTTTTTTTTTTGCCTTCTCTTCTCTCCAGGCCATTCATTGTCTCTTTCCTTCTCCGCCCGTGAATCGTGGGGTAAAACAGAACAGCCCGAAACAACGCCCATGACGGAGGCGGCGATTGAATCGTGATGCATGCGATCGCTGATGTTTGGTTAGTTATGTATGGCATTTGGCCGGTAGCGTCGTATGGGTTGGGCGCGGGGGGTTAAGAGTGAGAGGGGGGGGTGGGGTTGGTGATGATGACGGGGCTTGGATAGAAGGGGAAAAGAGCTCTCTCTTTGAATGCTGTTTCAGGAAGAACATTGACGGGAACTCGAAAGATCTCGAACGAGCTGATGTTTGAGATGTTCTGATTATGTTCTCAGACGAAACGTAGGTCTGAAACAAGAAAGCTGAAGCAAACAACGATTCCCTTCTCTCTCTCTCTCTCTCTCTTCGTGCAACTCTCACTCTTCTCGGCCTGATCTGTATCTACTGATTATCCCCTCAGCCGAACCCTCCCAAGCCTAAAGCATAAAAGTTGCCATGATCAGCCACCAGTTTCACGCTTCTAGCTGCATCTGGAAATCGGTTTTGAGCAGGGAACATGGGAGGAAAAACTCACCTAAAAAGCTGCAACGGGGACAAAAAAAAAAAAAAAAAACGGTTACAAATCATGCATTGGCCATTGGGGGCACTTTTGTCGTTCAAACTATGCTCAGGAGTCTACTCCGTCGTATCCCCCCTAATTAAATTGGCGTCGCGAGGCCAGGGGGTGGTCCGCTAGCTGGGAGCTATGGCGTGCTGTCAGATCGTTGTAGACATAGCTCCGCGGGAGGAACTGTGCATTGACGATGCGTATGGAGTATGTTCTGTCTGTCTGTCTGTCTTGAGTTGTCGGAGGTTGCGTACGGTTGAAATGGAACGGAGTAACTCCAACTCAATTGCAGCTGGAGCTGGAGCTGGAGCTGGAGCTGGAGCTGGGGGCTGCAAGCGAGTTAAAGTGTGTATGTATTCGCTCTCGTAGTATCTTTATTATTATTTCACTCACCCGCTAGCCGTTTGTCATTATAACCTTGAGAGGTTTTTGGTTGTGACATTTCGAGCTCATCGCCAAAACCGTGCCGTAATACCCCGTACTCCGTACCAGATACAGGAATACAATACAAATACCATTAATACCGAGCAATCGAAAAAAAGGTTATGTGTATTATCGAAAAAGCGGCAATTTAAAAATAAAAGGGAATCCAATAATCAAATACCACTCTGCCAAGCGGGTTGTCCCCTGGACGCCCGCTGTTTTGAGGCAAATATTATCCCGCGCAACACCCAACATGCCGCAGAGCCGACTGCCACGTCCCCTCCATCGCAATGCGCACGCACTCGGATACCACGGTTGCGCAAAGTGGTATTTATTTTTGTTTATTTTTATTTTTGCAGAAAATTCCTCTCCCACGACATAGTTAATAATAATAATAATAATAATAATAATAATAATAATAATAAATTATAAGAAATAAAAATAATAATAATAATAATAAAAAATAGGGTTCCAGCCCCCGTCGATATTGAAGTGCATACATAGCATAGCATGGCATAGGTCACGCGAACAAGATATCCACTCTGAAGTTTATACAGTTCCTGCATAACCCGTCGTTGTGTACACACCTACCTCTGTTGCACAGGGCTCAATATGCGTCAAACCGCCCGCTTCCAAACGGGCGATTCGATTCAATCTGAGGTTCATGGCTCATGGTTCGTGGCTCGCGGTTCATCGAGTTTCGAGGCGGGCAAGGGAATGATGCACGCGGATGGGACGATTGGCTGGCTCCAGGTCACGGCTTGCTGTGAATCAGGTATTTGCGGGGTCTAGCTCCTAGTTATGGAATGGGAGGGGAGGGGAGGGGAGGGGGGGACCCTTCTATTATAACGTGTGTACGTATGTTGATTCTATAGTAAATGCAGATATAACTCATGGTCGTATGTATGTATATGCTGTGCTGTGCTGTACAATAGTTCGAACCTCCGGAGATGGGTCGGGAAAAAGTGTATAAATCTATATACGAGAAGACAACAAACAAACCCTTTCCTCCCTTCCTCCCTTCCTCTCTTCCCACCATCGCAACATCATCACACCGTTCTAATCAACTTAAACGGCGCCCCGTCCCACAAACCCTCTCCATCCCCATCCCCACTCTCATCAACACCCCCCAGATACGAATTCCACCTCTCATCCATCCCCACCTCCCTCCCGTCCCGAATCAACTCCACCTTCTCAACCTCCTCCCAAAGAAACACATTAGGCCTCCACATAGCCGTCATCATCACTCCATCGCGCACCAAGTCATGCCCCTGCCCCTGCCCCTGCCCCTGCCCCTGCTCCTCCCCCGTCTCATGCGGCCACTCCCACGCATCGCTCCACATCTGCCCCTCCAAACCCTCCTGCCAATCAACCCGCACCTCAAAAACATGTAGCCGCGGCAGCTGCAACTTCAGCTGGCACAGGGGGCGGAGCATATATCTCTCCGTGGCGCGGGACATGCATTTTTCACTAAAGGCCGAGGGCCGTTTGAGGGATATCTTGAGCTCGCACAGGGAGGTTAGGTGGGGCAGGACTTCGGAGCATGCTACTTCCCAGCCGGTTGGGGGGCGGGGGCTGTAGATGGTGAAGTCCCCGAAGGCGGATCTGCTGTAAAAGCAGGCATCGTGGGTGGGGGTGTAGAATTTGGGGATTGATTTCGGGGCGGGTGTGGGGATGTCGTTACTGCTATCGTTGATGTTGTCTGCTGTGTGTTGATGTTGGATGGACGGGTGCGCGCCCGGTCGGCGAATTCGACGGAAGTAGGGGAGGTTATTTAGGTAACAGTATGAATCGAGGTAGTCGAGGTGCGGCCCGCTGATTTCGAGCTTTGTGATGCGTTTTAGGTGGTGGTCTGGGATGGAGATGGAGAAGCCCAATAGGGTGAGCAGGTCCATTTGGAAGGTCATGTTTTTGTATAACACCGTGACTGCTTCTGTGTAGCTAGTTGGATGTTAGTTGGGACGTTCAGGAAAGACAGACAGACAAGTATTCTAGGCTTAACCCCAACCCCCTCCCTAACCCCGGGGGGGGGGGGGGGCTTTGACGTGGGTATGTATGTACGGTGTTATATAGCACTTTTAAAGCATCCTCTGCATATGGATAGGAATAAAGTGACTTAACAATATATGAACCGGGAAGCAAGAGATGTAAGTAATATACGTACACTTGCCGACAAACGCATAGCAAGTCCAGCGCCCCGCTAATTCCTTTCTTTGCGCTCGGGAGGAATTTCACCGGTGCCACAGACAGCTCACGTATTACGCAGCCAGCCCTGGTCGTCGGACGATAAACATGAGCAGGCGGACACTGATAATCATGTTTATTACCATTGTAGCAAACAAAGCCTTCCCGTGTACCTTCCGAGCAAGCCACGCTAGCCACTTTCCCCGGAATGGTGACCACGTGTACGCGCTGCGTAGATAGCGCATATTGATATATCGTGAGCCGAATTTCCAACGGTAATCGAGTAAGGAATCGAGATTCTTCCTGCCGTGAAGGGGAGGAAGACGAAGAAAGGACCCGGATGGCGCTTGTGCCTGGCAGGTTGGATAATAGCCTGCCAAAGCCAGTCTTCTCTTGCTTGATGTCGGCACCAAATTGGCTGGACTGGCCCTTCTCCAGCATGGAAGGGGTAATGGAGAGCCTTCTCCTCCTGGCAGTTGTAGTGAGCCCCAGGACGGGGGTCATGAGCTCTCTTCTCTCCCTCTCGCTTGCTGCCTTTTTCCTGGCCGATGAGATCAGGAAGCAGGCATAGAACGGGGAGACGAGGCACATTATGAGAACACAGCCGATACGGTCCAGGAACGCTAGGAGCTGCTGCTTGCAAGCCATGGCGATAATCATCTCTATGCAGCTGTCAAAGGCCTTTATGGGGGATCATCCGTTGATGATCAACATATTCATAGAGTAACTAGTAGATCAAGATAGATAGATATGTTAGAGATTACTGAGGCTCCTTGAGCACTCAGAGTCAGAGCCAGAGTCAGAGCCAGAGTCAGAGTCAGAGTCAGGACTCGGGAACGATGATGGGGTTGAGCCAGTGCCTCATGCCTGACAGGCTCTGGCGCTTGGTTCAACGGCACAACCTGTCAGCCTGCCCACCAGTGCTAATGCCCGATCCAGCCAGGCGTTGAGGGCTAGTACGGTTAAAAGCAGGATAAGATGGTTAGCGGCGTGGTTATTGCCCAGCTTCAACGCTACAAGAAAAGCGCGTGGGCTCCAGTATATAAGTGAGCGAGCTGACGGGCCACGAAATCAGCTGCGAAGAACACTGAACAGCGCTCGGAGTTGAAAGAGAATCTTGCTTTACCTTTTGATAACTAAGGCAACTCGCGTGCTTTCAAACCTTGAACATCTATTTAACTCCAAGCCAAAGCCGGAGCCGGTAGCTACCCAGGGATGTTCGTGCAAAAGATGTCCAGAACCGCCAGACTGCCTTGTTCTTCCCGAACCTCGGGTAGTTAAAAGTCACCGGCTGGCAACCTTGAGAGCGACCTTGGAGGTGGCCGATGCCCTCGTACTCGGGCAGATAAGGCACTTCCTCGTCTCGGCCATACAATTAGTTATTCATCAACCAAGCACAGCACAGCAACATCAACAGCAGAAAAACCTTCCGCTGAAAATCCCCCCCCCCCCCCCCCCCCCTCCCTCTTACCACGATCCAGGAACCAGATCCCGATAAACTTTGACGCTATCCATGGTTTAAAAAGGTGCTACAGTTGGGTGCCCTGAAGGCCAAAAAGTGATACGAAACTAAAATAAAATAAAATCACCAAAGGAACCAACGGAGGCAAAATATCCCCAGCATTGGCACCTACAGTTCTTCATTCTCAAACTCTGCAGATCCTCGGAGGCATTCACAAGCCCTGGCCCCAACGAAGCGGTCTGAGACTCCTGAAGAAGGGGGGAGGGGTAAAAGAAGACGGAGGGATCGAGACACCCCCCACCCGGGAGCCAACCCTGGGTGTGCGCTGGGCGAACACATCGTCTCCATCAGCGGGCTGCACGGGCCCAACCAAGGACGAACACCGGGGCCGGCGAGACCAAAGTCACCAACACCCCCTTCTAGCCACTCCTGTCTGCTTTTCTGCTCGACATCATTGGGACTGCAGAGGGATGCTCAGCGCGAGGCGATTGCCCGACCGCGAGTCCCGACAGCCCGGGGGGGGTGGGGGGGTTCGCCGTGGCGGTCAGTCATGGCGCTCCCCGGCCGTGCCCGCTGAGTCAGCCGACCCTGATGGGGGGAGCGAGTGAGTGAACGAGCAAGGATTGCGGTGACGGAGGCACAAACGCTCGGGGGGTGGGGGAGAGGAGCCCCGGCGCAGGGTGCCTAAGGAGCTTTTGGCCTACGCCCCAAGCCCCGCCCAACACATCTCCGCCGATCCCCATGCCAAGCCCCGGCTGGCGGAAAAATGTCGGAGGGTTCAACTCGCTGCAAGCACGCCACACGCGCCCCGCCAAGACCCCGCCAAGACCCCGCCAAGCCAATATTCCTCTTCTTGGCGCGGGTCCTCTGGCCGGCAGGTCGATGGCTACTCGCCCGCCCTGGTGGCCCCAGGGGCGATCGTCAGGCTGTGCCCGTCGTCGTCGTCGTCGTCGTCGTCGTCTCCGCGTATGTATGGATCCATGTATGGATCTATGTGTCCAATGTATATGTCGGTTCTGTCGATCCCCTAGGGACTGCGCGGCTGCGACCGTCCATGTAGGTCTCCTGGCGATCTGCTGCGGCTGTGCTGTGTGCGACGCGGGGAGGGATGGAAGAGTGTAAACTCTGTGCTTGTGCCTGCACTTGACTTGTATTGTTATTTACTGATGTGTCTTGGTAAAACCCATACCTGTTTTCCTATGTTTTCGTGTGGTGGACTCCGTGGGGGGGACGCCCTGGATATGCGTAGGAGAGGGAAGGGCTACAAAAGGGGCAGAGGCAGGGAGTTACGGCCATCGCATTTCATGAATCTCTGTATGTATGTATGAATGAATTCACATCCACTTCTCGAGATCTCAATCGAGGGTATATATATATGTAAGTGTATATATATATATACATGCATACATACATATAGTTGTATATACGGTAAAATGAGAATAAAATACAAAATAAAAAGTGAAAAAGACCTCCTCGGTAATATAGTTACATACATAGCACGTCCCAAGCCCTCCCTCCGTCTCCCTCCCGCCAAGCCCCGTCGAGCAAATGTCCGGGATCATTCCTGGGTCCAATATCTCTCTACCTACCCGCCAAGCATTGACACATCACTCCCCGTACCACACTGGTTCGGGGCAAAGAAGGAGCGCAAGAGAGAGCTGTACATGCGCATATGTGCAACTACAGCTGATATAGGGAATGTAAATGCAGAGGCAGCAGCGCCGATCGAGAGAGAAAAAGGGGGGAGGGGCAGTGGGGAGATGTCGTGCACGACGGGGTATCAGGAGGACCGGGGTTTGCAATAATAATAAATAGTGCGAATTGGGTGAGGATTGCTCTGTATGGGTAGCTAGAGGTACAGTTCATTAACAAAACGTTGTTTTGAGTGGTTAAGTAGTTAAGTAACTAGTTGACGGGTGGGTTGCTGATGGTATTCCCATCTACCATCGTACTCCCCATTCCTAGATAGCCGCCTTCCACGCCAACAATCGGTAATCGATCATACAATTGCCCTTCTCCGCCCCACACCTGGCCCCCTCCTGCACTCCTCAACGTCCATCTCCACAGCAAACCCATCTCCATCAAAACCTACCACGTCCACGGCCCTACCAGGTGTCGTCCGTAGTTCTTGAAGAATGCCCTAAGCAAAACTGCAGGGTAACGTCCCATTGGTGTAAATATCTCATTGGAGACATGATAGTTAGGGGTAAGTGAGCCAGCTATCAAGAGAAGGGCCATTCGTCTTGTTGATGACGAATGGACACTGACAGACCAGATCAGGTTCTGGCTGATACCTGCAGCAGGCAGAGAGGAAGGGGGGGAAAAAGGGATTTGAGCCGTTCGACATTTGACAGTCTTTGCCGCATTCTCACATTCTCACTCTCATTCTCATCCTCGTCATTCTCCACCGTCGTTCTCATGGGAAAACAAGATTTGTACAATTTAAAACCTCATCCAACCAACAATGCAGAAAGATTCCAAAACAGCCCCTCCAATCCATCCTCAGACAAACCCGCCACATCGTACTCCGCAGTCTCGTGTTATGTAGCTGAGTGAGTGTGAAACTCGGCCCCGGCCCCTCGATGACGTCGCATCAGCCAAAACGGCCCCCGCCCCCCCTTCCCCCTCCCTCCCCCTCCTCCTCCCCCCTCCCTCCTCGAACCCCAAAAACCGCCAGCCAATCCGGTATAATCTGACCTCCCTCCCGTCCTTGCCCGACCTCAAGAGTAATAAAAACAGCGCCGCCGTTCATCCATCCAGGCTTAAACAGGTATTAATTACCTCAAATTTTTCAAGTTTTTCATACTTCCATGACGAAAGGCGATGGATGGAAATTGAAAAAAAAGAGATGAAAAAAAAAAAGATAAAGAAGTCAAAGGCATGATGATGTTTGAGGAACAGATATCTGATGTCTTGTTGTCACGTGTTTATTGTGCCGACGCAACCCTAAACCCCGGGCGTATGGTTCGGGTGATGACGTTGCGGGCATTGGAATCATTCAAGAATGGAACAATTAAAGTTAAACCACTGAAAAGGTTCAAAGGATGAAATATTTTTAGGTACAAGGAGTGGAGATATAAAAAGGTAAGGTACATACTGTTACAAAGTATGACAAGGTGCGAAAAAAGGTTAAATAAAAGCGGTGAAGATAAGTAATGTCAAGAGGGGAGAAATATTTTTTAACTACAGTTAGGTGATTCAATCTTCAACGGGTGACTATTAGCTATGCAGGCATACACATCCTCACCCACGCAATTACTATACACTCGTACATCGTACATCATATACACACACACACACACACACACATACATACATGCATACATAGTTATATATATCTGCGAAGACAGCGGCAGTCGTCCGCGAGGCGAAATCGAGCGATGACGAAAGCATAGAATAGAACTGCCTCATCATCCCCCCAACAATCCCGCAAACCACGCGTCGTGGCTCGTGGCAATAGATGATTTAATATCCTAAGGCTGCTACATATCATGCATGACAAGACTGGGCCAACCTGTCATGGCCCCATGGCCACGGGCATCTGTCTCAAGAAACCGGGGGGGGGGGGGGGGGGTTCTTGTTTGAAGTTGTGGGAGTATTGTAATTTTTTTTTTCCCCCCCCCCCCCCGCGAGGTAGGGTCCAATCACGTCGATGGGCTTAGTTCACATGGTGCTGAGTGGGTACGATGATATCACATTTCGTCGATATTGTGGGGTGGCTGTTAAGCGGCTGTTCAAGGCGGCCCGGCCATTGGATTTATCTCCCAGCCTCCGCTCTCGTTGCTTTATTAACTCCATCGACTTTGGGGGCACTGGGACTGTGAAGGGCAGTTTGCACATATATACACACAATTAAACGTGTATAAATATGTATCGAAATAGCTGTAGACGAAAGACGAATGATAAACTAATATTAAATTACTAGGGATACAGAAATGCATGCATGCGTACGAACTGCATTTGCCCGATCCCGCCCAGATCCGAGTGCCGCTTGAACCCACATGCAAATGCAATTTACCAGGGATGGAGTTACTTTTGCTTGTTTGCCATGGTCATCAACATTGAACATCATTAAAAGATTGATGTTCTATATGCATGCATGCATGTATGTATGTATGTATGTATGTATGTAACTCTGTAGTTAGTGTTTTATATGGACCAGACATGAGAACCTCCCTCATGACATCCCACCTGGTTTCACACTCGATAAAATGTCAAGAAGGAATAACTGCTTCCAAATCCGCGGGTAAGCAAAAGGGCAGCGGGACAAAACCACAGAGACTGCACCGCCTTGAATATTGAAGAAGGGCCGGACAGGGAATGAGGATATAGCCGCGGTATTTAACCCAAAGGGCAGTAAATTCCTGTTCCTGATACTCCTGTCTGGCTAGATCTCTTATCAATTGTTAAGAAGATTAAAATAATTAAATAATAAAATGAAATATCGAATCATTTAAAATGTTAGAGAGAAGTCATAGCTGATAAGCTAATTTGTAAAGAAGGAGAAAATGTCGTTCTTTTAATGGATGTAAGGAAGATTTCTGACAGAAGTTGATATTGTCTCTGATCTGTAAATCTGTTGACCCTTTTAATCATCACATCATAACTTGATTAACTCTGAATTCTGTAGCAACCCCCCAGTGCAAGCGTATTTAGAGATCAATTGTCTGTCTAATTGATTAATTGTCAACTGTATAAATCTCTTTGTTGAGTGCCATGGTGGGTAGTTGAAGTTGGTGAGTTGGGGGATTGAGTTTTGAATCACGTTACATTATATGACTTATCATCATCATCATCGTCATCATCATCATTCTACGGTGCTGCGCCGCCCACGCTACAAAATTCATCATGGAGGCGGTTTAACAAGGGAATAAAAAAGCTGCTGAGCCTGTTGCACAGTCCTGTCATCCAGTCTACAGAGTTTCAACCCATGGGCTTCCAGCCATTCTTGGGACCCCCACAAATGATATGCAGCACTGCAATATGCCTGATTATATAGTTAAGAGAACAAGATGCTCTCTCATCCCAAGTAAATTTTAACTAATTTAATGTAATGTAATTGGTGGTTGCTGAGCATAGATAATTTGAATAAGGCTTACTTACATAGTTTGAGAGATAATTTTGGATTGGGTTTAGTTCGCTGATGCATTCATTATTAGTAACTATATACATAGCCCCAGAAAGGAACAAACTCAGGGTAGTTAATAAAATCCCCACCTGTCATGTCATCGGCAAAAGGCCAACCAGAAAAAGTCGCTTGAGATTAACTTGACCACTGTGTGCCAACTTCCCGCCGTCTAGCTTCCAACGAAAGAATAAAAGAAGGAAAGAAGAGAAAAGAACTGGAAAAGAATAATAGTGAAAATGAAAATAAAATGAAACAAATAAAATAAAACAAAACAAAATAGGAATGGCGGTCTCTCCGTGCGGGTGGCATGGATCGCATTATCTCATGAAACCTGCTAACAAAAGCATAAAGTTAGTAACTATAGGGCGGGCTTTGCTTATGTTTCTGATAACCCTCCTACAACACTCTCGTTTATATGCCTGACTCCCCACCCGTCACCCGTAAGAAAATCAGACAGAGAACAGAAAACAGAGAGGGTGGTAAGTGGTTCAAGTGATAAGAGAAGGAAATCGTTGGTACAACCACAGCGGGAGACACGGGTGGAGTGTGGGTAATTTACCTGTTACCTAGGTTCTCTTGTTTGTATCTGGGAAAGGCCGTCCACGGGTACCCGGGGCCAAGGCTTGCACGCTACGCATATTGGCTGGGTCTGTTTGAGTTTGCAAGTTTGCGAGTTTGCCGGGCGATGGGCGATGGGCGGGCAGAACCAAAGTTACGGGCGGTATGCTATTACAGTACGGTCATGTTAAGGTTTTTTCCTTTTTTAACCTTTTTTTTTTTTCGCGCGTGGGAGATGGTGCTTGTCTTTTCCCTTGGTAATGTTTCCATTGTCGCCTCCTTCTTTCTCTTTACCCCAGTCTTACCCTTTTTCTTCTTCTTCTTCTTCTTCTTCTTCTTTTTTATATTGTTTTTTTTTTGTCAGTGTAATATATTTTATGATTGTATGGTACGTACGGTACAGAACAGAACAGAACAGAACAGAACAGAACAAGAACAGTACAGTACAATATTGACACATACCAACCACTCACTCTCTTCCACTCTTCCATCTCCAACTCTCTCCACTCTGCCTTCCCCTTCCCGGAATCCACTCCACATCCACTGCTCATCTTCTTTTTTTCTTCTTCTGCATCTTCTCTTCCTATTCCTCATCATATATCAACCGCCTCCCTCCACTTCCGCTTCCTTCTTCTCTTCTTCTCGAACATCCTCCTTCTCACGTCTTGCGTTGCCCTGTAGTTGCTGGTGCTCTTGTGTAGCCCTCACTCTCCTCCCCCTCCCTCCTCCTCTCTTCCTCTCCTCATCTTCTCTCTCTTCTCCCTCCAACCCTCCCTTCGATCTGCTTACCCCTCAATCCCTTCTTCCCGCGCCATTGCGCTGGCTTTAAAACGGCCATTCCAGTGCGATCATCCTCTAGAAGAAGAGGATTCCCAGCTTCCCCAACAACACCCGGCTGGAAACTGCTACTGCTGCTACTGATACAACAACAACAGCAACAGAGGAATTGACCTGGCTCGTGCAGTTCCCAAATTGTGCGCATCTTCTCGGGTTATTACCTTCCACCATCACCACCCTTGTCATCGCATAATACTTCGTCAATCATGTCAGATCCCATCACGTCTGGGCCGCGCGGCCAACACATACCACCAAACCATCTGGGAACCAGCGTCCCTTCGGGCGCTTTCCCCGGAAAACCCACGGAAAGTGTCCCCGAGGAGAAAAAGCAGGCGTTCACTGAAGATGACGACGAGGATGAGGACATGGATGCCCTCATCGAGGAGCTCGAATCCGAGGATGGCCATCAGGACATCGAGGATGACGAGATCGGTGAGACCGGCAGTGCCCGCCCGGTCCCAGAGGAGCTGCTCCAAACCGATACGCGTCGAGGTCTGATGGATCAGGAGGTCCTGTCGCGCCGCAAGAAGTACGGTCTCAATCAGATGAAGGAGGAGAAGGAAAATCTGGTGTTGAAGTTTTTGAGTTATTTCGTTGGACCGATTCAGTTCGTTATGGAGGTGAGTTTTGCAATTTTGGGATTTCCTATATGATGGATGGATCCATAATGGGCAATGTCAAATACTAATTAATGTTTACAATGCAGGCTGCTGCTATTCTCGCTGCTGGTCTTGAGGACTGGGTCGATTTCGGTGTTATTTGCGGTCTGCTATTGCTCAATGCCGCTGTCGGTTTCATCCAGGAATTCCAGGCCGGTTCTATCGTTGACGAATTGAAGAAAACTCTAGCCCTCAAAGCTGTTGTTCTTCGCAATGGCCGTCTCACAGAAGTCGAAGCTCCCGAAGTCGTGCCTGGTGATATCCTTCAGGTCGAGGAGGGTACTATCATCCCAGCGGATGGCCGCATTGTCACCGAAGACGCTTTCCTCCAGGTCGATCAGTCTGCTATTACCGGCGAATCTCTTGCTGTTGACAAGCACAAGGGCGATACCTGCTACGCTTCTTCCGCTGTCAAGCGTGGTGAGGCCTTCATGGTCATCACTTCTACCGGTGACAACACTTTCGTCGGTCGTGCTGCTGCTCTCGTCAACGCTGCCTCTGCCGGAACTGGTCATTTCACAGAAGTGCTCAATGGTATCGGAACCGTTCTCCTCATCTTGGTCATTCTCACTCTGTTGGTTGTCTGGGTTTCCTCCTTCTATCGCTCCAACGGCATTGTCAAAATTCTCGAGTTCACCCTGGCTATCACGATCATCGGTGTCCCCGTCGGTCTCCCAGCTGTCGTCACCACCACAATGGCTGTCGGTGCCGCCTACCTGGCCAAGAAGAAGGCTATCGTCCAGAAGCTGTCCGCCATTGAGTCTCTTGCTGGTGTCGAAATCCTCTGCTCTGACAAGACTGGTACCTTGACCAAGAACAAGCTCTCTCTCGCTGAACCCTACTGCGTTGCCGGTGTTGACCCCGATGACCTTATGTTGACTGCTTGCTTGGCTGCTTCCCGCAAGAAGAAGGGTATCGATGCCATTGACAAGGCTTTCCTCAAGTCCCTCAAATACTACCCCCGCGCCAAGTCCGTTCTCACCCAGTACAAGGTCCTCGAATTCCACCCTTTCGACCCAGTCTCCAAGAAAGTCAGCGCAGTCGTCATCTCTCCTCAAGGTGAACGCATTACTTGCGTTAAAGGGGCTCCTCTTTTCGTGCTCAAGACCGTCGAGGAAGACCACGCCATCCCTGAAGACGTTGACAATGCCTACAAGAACAAAGTTGCTGAATTCGCTACCCGTGGTTTCCGTTCCCTTGGTGTTGCCCGCAAGCGCGGTGAAGGCTCCTGGGAAATTCTCGGAATCATGCCCTGCTCGGATCCTCCCCGTCACGATACCGCAAAGACTATCAATGAAGCCAAAACTCTCGGTCTCTCCATCAAGATGTTGACTGGGGACGCTGTCGGTATCGCCCGTGAAACTTCCCGTCAACTCGGCCTAGGTACCAACGTGTACAACGCAGAGCGTCTCGGTCTCGGTGGCGGAGGAACCATGCCTGGGTCTGAAGTGTACGATTTTGTCGAAGCCGCCGATGGATTTGCTGAAGTCTTCCCCCAGCACAAATACAATGTCGTTGAAATTCTGCAACAGCGTGGTTACCTCGTCGCTATGACTGGTGACGGTGTTAACGACGCTCCGTCCCTCAAGAAGGCTGATACCGGTATTGCTGTTGAAGGTGCATCTGATGCCGCCAGGTCCGCCGCTGATATTGTCTTCCTTGCTCCCGGCCTATCTGCCATCATCGACGCGCTGAAAACCTCCCGCCAGATTTTCCATCGTATGTACGCCTACGTTGTGTACCGTATCGCTCTCTCCCTCCATCTCGAAATCTTCCTGGGTCTCTGGATTGCCATTCTGAACACCTCTCTCAATCTCCAGCTGGTGGTCTTCATCGCTATTTTCGCTGATATCGCCACCCTCGCCATCGCCTACGACAACGCTCCCTTCTCCAAGACACCCGTCAAGTGGAACCTGCCAAAGCTGTGGGGTATGTCCGTGCTGCTCGGTATCATCCTCGCCGTCGGAACCTGGATTACCCTCTCGACCATGTTGGTCGGAACCCAGAACGGAGGTATCGTGCAGAACTTCGGTGTCCGCGACGAAGTGCTATTCCTCCAGATCTCCCTGACAGAGAACTGGCTCATCTTCATCACCCGCGCCAACGGGCCATTCTGGTCTTCCATCCCATCCTGGCAATTATCCGGTGCCATCTTTCTCGTCGACGTCCTGGCTACCTTCTTCACCTTGTTCGGTTGGTTCGTGGGCGGACAGACCTCTATCGTCGCCGTGGTGAGAGTATGGATCTTCTCGTTCGGATGCTTCTGTGTGCTGGGAGGCATTTACTATTTGCTTCAGGGAAGTGCTGGGTTTGATAACATGATGCATGGCAAGAGTCCGAAGAAGAACCAGAAGCAGAGAAGCTTGGAGGATTTTGGTATGTTTCTTCTCCATTCCCTCGTTCCCCTTGTACGTCTTTTGCAATCAAGGCCCTTTTAATAACCGCCCTTCTCATCTTACAGTCGTTTCCCTCCAACGTGTCTCCACCCAACACGAGAAGAGCACATAAAAGCCTTCTCTTTACTACCCCGCCTCAAAACGAGAGGAGCATTTGGATTTTTTCCTTTTTTTTTTCTTTTTTCTTTGTTTTTTTTTCTTTTCTCTTTTTCATACATTACATATAGGTGGGCAAGAATTAAAGCTTAATACAACAATAACAACAACAACAACTACTACTACTACTACTACTACTATGCTGCTACTACAAAGATCGTGGAGTTGGAAACAGACAAAAATAAAGATACACTAATCCAGTTTGAGTTGCAGGTAGGGGAAATGGAAGAGGAAGCAAGAAAAAGAAAAGAAACTATCTTTTTGTTTCATGTATATTCTGTTAAGTTGGAGAGATAGGGATTGTTTGTGTATAAAGATGAACTTACCCCACCACCTCTAACCCCCCTCCTTTACAACTCCCCGCTTTTAAAACCCTAACCCCTGTGAGGAAAAAAAGCTCTATGCCAATTTCGCATCTCCCGCCACTGCTTCTCCTCCACTCTCTTCCTTTACCGTTCTTTTACTTCTTCTCTTACCCCTTAACACAAGCCATCACCTCCAACAAAAGCAAAAAAATACGGGCTGTTATTTTGCCAACGTAACTAAATATCTTATGTTGGAGGGGTTGGTAGGAATTGGAAGTGAAAGTGAATGGGAATTGAAATGGAAATTGAATAAGGGGTGAATATGAGAAGTGAAGGGCGTACGTGTATATGTGAGAGTGATGAGATGAAGGCTCTGGGGTGAGAGGCACCACGGTTTTTTCCATAATTGTTCTATTAAATTTTCTTTTTCTTTTTATTAATGTTTATACACTTTTTCCCCTTTTTATTTTTATTTTTTTAATTTTATTTCTTTTTTTTTTTGCTTTACTATGCTGTTTTTTCCTAAGTAATTCTGAGATAGTTGAAGTTGAAAATAGATCAAAGTAAAAATGAAAAATAAAGAAAAAGAAAGTAAAACTGAGTAGAGACTGACAGAGAGAAAATTAGATATCATATTTGAAAGTATTGTAAAAGAGATTCACAGGTTTTTTTGATTCTTCACAGGGTAATGTTAGAAAGTTCTTAGAAACATTTAAGTTATCTCATAAAAATTATATTAAATAATCAAATTGAGCAATTTCATTCCAGTGACCTATTATTCCTTCTTTGAATTTGAAAATAATTTGTTTAAAATAATAGATATATTAGAATCAATTATCATCATTAGAATTATTACTAAATTCAGAAAATCAAGTCCTCTTATAAGACTATCACTCATTTTATTAAGATTGAAAACTCATTTCTGAGATTAAAGATGAAGTCTATTATTGTGAAGCAACTGGTCAGAATTGAAAGCTTGTGATAATTAATTTTATTATCTCATCAGAGCTGCAGCTTTGTGAAAATGAAAGAATGCATTTTTTCAATTAATTATAAGATAGAAAATTGAGATGTCTCATAGACTTACTGAGCTATTCTCATCAATATGAGTCATCTTTTGCTGCCTTCGTCATAGTTATGATCTAGAAAAAGCAAAGTTCCAGAAAATAGTGTTAGACTACATGGCAAAAAGATCTAATCACCAGAAGTCTATTATAAGTACAATTCTATTAAGGTCATCTGATCTCTAACACAAAGTAGGTCAATTGAGTCACATGTCACTTGCTGAATATTTTCTGCTTCTCTCTGCACAGATTGACACACTCATTGACTGCTTGTCATTTTAGACATCAATCAATGACATCATGTTTTAGTATTGAACATCATCAATAATATGATGACATTACTTCAATCAAGAAAAGTGTTGTTCACTGATATTTCCACCTCACTCATAATCTCTCAAGTCAATTGAATCATATTTATACATGTATTTTTTATTTTTCTTTTCAGATTTGTTCAAACAGAAGTGTGAGTTACAAGTATATCAAAGCATTGTTATTAATACTCTGTTTACTAATCAAATTTAATGAGAATATAATATAAAAAGTATAAAATCATTTCATTATATTAGGTTTTTAATTAATTTTTATTGAATATAATAAGAAGTTTTAATTCCTTTTATTTTTTAACATTGATTAGATTATAAAACAGTATAATAAAAAGAGAATAATATAAATTAAATAAATCTCAAGTAGAAAAAAAATAAACTATATTTTATATTATAATTTATATATGATATTTCATGATTAAGATATAAAATATACTTTTTATTTAAACAGATACATTTAAAATCAATTATATTTTATATTATAAGCAAATTTTCAGCATCTTACATCTTAGTTTATAAATTTATATCTCATATCTACTATAGTTGATATAAATAATATATTATCTATTATCAACATTGATCAAATATTGTAATTTTTTCAAATTGATAGTATATTAAGTTCTTCATCAAACTATTGATTTGATAATTTAAAAGTATCGTGAAAGTGAAAATTTAAATACAAAATTCTATTCATATTAGAGGATTATAGAGAGTATTTATAAATTTTTTTTAGATATAATTGTCATGACTTTATTTAGAGTCAGAATGACAATAAGACAACAGCTTCAATTCATCTATCTAACTAGGTAGCTGCGACGAGAATACTGAACTGGGGATTAGGATGTGGAATGACCGAGCAGCTGAATAAAGAGGTGGTGTTGGGGATCGGAGCGGATCAACATTCAGAGCGGAGAGGATCAACCTTGATCCATATTACAAGCAGCTGCGGTTATTATATAAAACAACATCTCATATAGTATAGTTTTATTTATTAAATAGTAAGTTGATAAAAATTAAAAAAAAAAAAAAATTAATAAGAATAACAATTTACTGATTATATAGTTTGTATTATAATAACTGATAGGTTTTATAATAAAATTTATTTATATATATTAGAATATATAGTTATAGTTAGTATTAAAATTAGCTTAAATAACTTTTTTAAAGTTAGTTAACTATCAAAAACAATGAAAATATTATTAATATAAGAATTATTATACTCAAAGTCAAATAAACTTACCAAAGGTCAATAACAACTTTCTACATATATTCATTTATATGTAAGTAATGCAGTTTATTATCAAAGATTTTGACAAGTACTTAATTAGATGAAAGACTTGCATCATATTGAAAGACATCTAGATGAGAACTACAATTAACTGGGTCAATAGCTAGTATAGAGCCATAGAAATTGAACACAACACCCCGTAATCACATATTTTTGAACCATTTCAGACTGCAATAGGCTCTGGGCTCATAGTGGGAGTTGTCCAAATCTCAAATACAATTGTGAGCGTACCCGGGATCCCCATTGTTGTGATCAGGTAAAAAATGACACAGGTTAGGGGATGCGCACAAGCTAAATGCAGGTACATACCGCATCAAGAGCCGTGGCTTGCCACAGTAGTTAACATGAAATATGGAAGATGGTTCTGAGACGTCCAGGGTTTCCTCAAACCCCATCTTCGCGACATCGATGTCGAGCTCGAAGATGTCATCAAATCCTGCCTCATCACGGTATATGGTGTCCTCCTTCGCGACTGACCCGAAGAAAATATCTGACATGGGGTGAAAGAATAAGAAAACGGCGACAGCGCGGCGCCGTCTTTTGAGAATAGCTGCTCGTATTGGGCAAGAAGGCGGCCAAGGTTGGAATCCATGGCTCAGACTTGCAGTCTGTTAGGCAGACATGGTTGCCCGGGCAACCACTCCGCCGCACGTGATATAGCGTTGTATTAGTATTAGTTAGCCAGCCAGTCCTTCCTTCCCCAATGGAAATCAACCAGCCATCCGATCCCACATGGAATCCAATGACACGTGGCTCAGACTTTGGGAGGCGGAGAAGAAGCTAGCGAGCGAGTCTATATAGTTTGATACCCCAACGGGACGCGGGAATCCACGTCCGGAGCGGGCGGATCGGGGCTACGGCTAGATATGCCAGGGCCCAAACACTGAATTTGAATTTGAATTACGGAAAGCTTGTTTCGCAAAGTATTAACAATGGCGTTCAAAATACCGCAATGGTGTAAGTAAAGCTTGACTACAAGTTTCCATCCGCAATATCTTCTTCAATCCACCCAGGGCAAGCTCTCACTCCAAAAGTCATCCAGGAACTCTCTGCCGTTTTCAAAACGAGCGGCTAGGTCCAGCAGCATGTGCGCTATTTTTTGTATTATCAAACCGGTTCGAAGAATGGTTTTGAGCAATAAAGGACAATCTTGTCCCATCAGGTTTTGTCTTGTGGTAGTTTGGAGCCGGGCGTCTGGTATCTTCCTTTCAAGACAACGCTTTTGCATCTGCAGCAGACTGCAACTGAAACAAAGCCCTGGCCTTCGCATTTTTCCTGCATGAGCTTGCAAAGAAGTGAGTATGTCCACTTATCTGGATCATCTGTCCCGGGCTGGTAGATTCTTTTCTGGGCGCCACGGTGGAGGCAGAATCGACGATCACTCTCAGCATGCTATTTTCCACGCTTGTCCTTTATGTGTTTATTAGCGAATGCATCTTGGGGACGGAGTTTCAAGACAACGGTTGCTGCGTTGGACAATGCATGTAAATATCATGAGGTGCACCTGGAACTTCGATAATTATCATATTTTATGGTACGGACTGCTCTTTGTGCATAACTTATAGCATAGTTAACTAACTAGATGTTTAGTTCATTCTCCAGCTCAACCTCGCTCAGGCTCAAAATCCTGCCTAGCCCTGCTAATACTATCCTTAAATAGTTAAGAAATACATAACAATCGCTCTTAGGGTCCATTCCATCACGATAGAATGTTACCGCCGTTGCATGCACAGTTGCACCTCTATACATTATCGAAGCTTTCACATCTAATTCCTCCTAAGACGGTATTTTGTAGTTCCCACGGCGGGCTCTATCCGTTCTCTCACTTTACGGCATCAAAGCCAAGCCGGATCAAACCTTGATCATAATCCTTCCTCCCTCTGACTATTTATACCAGCACCTGTTCCCAGCGAGCTGCCTTCGCTCACAGATACCATACATCTTAACTTAGTACCAAATTCAGCATTTTATGTCCATATCACCACATGGCTGAGTTATTGGACCACGATTGCAATATCATCGCAGATCATCCTTTTAACATGTCACTCTATCAGCTACATGATCTCCTTCAAAAGGCAGAACCAGTAACTATATAATGCCACCACTGAATCCCCGAGATGCAATCTGCCAAAGGACAGTAACAGGACTTCTCCATGCTCTACAAAGGGGAGGATGCAGCCTACAGCCTTCGCTCGCGAATGAGTAACGGGGATGTAGCGTCTGATCTAGCACGCTTATTTGAGCGTCTCTGAAAAGGAACCACCGCTGTCGAGCGCTGGTACGCCTGGTCCTAGAAACCTCCTGCCGCAGAAACCTGCAGTGTTGAAATCTGGAACGTCAGCATCTGGAAAGCTGTTCTCAACCTCATTGTCACCATCTCTCAAACAACTCCTCCGGCGACCGTCTTTATGTTTACGTTTAGTTTTATAATTAATAGTAAATATTACTTAATAATAAATTATATTAATAAGTTAATTAATATATATTATAGTTTTTATTCTTTAAATCTTTATAAAAAATATTTTTTACTTTAAGATTTAAAGAAATTAATTAATTTTTAAATTATATTTAATATTAAAATATTTTACTTAAAATTTAAAGAATAATTGTTATTTTAAAATAATTTTAATAATATATTTTATAAATTTAATTTTTTAATATATTTCTTAAAAAATTAAATTAAATATATATTAAAAAAAAATTATTTATTTATATTTTTATTAATTTATAACTTTTTTAATTAAATATTATAATAATTATATAAATTTTTATTTTTAATATATTTTATAATATTATATTATTTATAATTTATAAATTATAAAATAAAATTAATTTAATTAATTTTAATTTTTTATTACTAATTATTATTAAATTATATTTTAATTTTTATTTAATATATTTATTTTAATAAAAATAGATAATATTTAATAAATTTAAATTTATTATAATAACTATATTTATTTAAAATTAAAATTTAATTTATAAATATAAATTAATATATATAATTAAAAATTATATATTAAAATAAAATAATATATAAATAAATATAGAATAAAAATAATTATTAAATATTTTTTTAAAATTAATTAGTTTTTATTTATTGTTATTTATTTATTTTTATTAATTTTAATTTTTAATTTTTATAAATTAGTATTTTATTTATTAAATAGTAATATTAAAGTTAAAATTATATTTAAAAATTAAATTTTAATTTTAAATTAAATTTTTATTTAAAGTATATAATTAATAAATATTAAATTTAAATATATTATTTTAATTTTTTATATTTTTATTATTTTATTATTATAATTTTAAATTATTTAATTATTTTTATTAATTTTTATAAAATTATAAATATATAAATATATTTTTATTTTATATTTATTTAAATATTATTTTAAATAAAATTTTTATAAATTAAATAAATATTATAGTTTTTAATTATATATATTTTAAATAATAATAATAATAATATAAAAAATTTATAAAAATTATAATTAATTAAATATATTTTTTATACTTTATTAAAAATAAAGTTTTACTTATTTAATTAAAATAAAAGTTATTTTAAAAAATAAAATTTAAAAATATTTATTTATTTTCTTTGTTTTAGATATTCTATTATTTTAAAATAAATTTTATAATTATATATTTTAAGTTATCATTATATATAAAATTTATTTAATAATTAAATTTAATTTTATTTAATAAATATTATAATTATTAATTATATATATTTTAAATAAATAAATAATAATAATAATTTATTTATATAATTATTATATTTTAAAAATAATTATAAAAAATAAAATTTAATTAATTTTTTTAATAATAATAATTTAATTAATATTTAAAGCTATATAAATTCTGAATTTATAAATTTAAAATCTATTTATAAATTTTATTAATAATTATATAATTAGAAAAATTAAATTTTAATTTAAAATAATATTTTATAAATTAATTAATTTAATTTATATTTCTAATCAATAAAATAATAAAAAGTATTAATTGATACGAGGAAATTAATTATTTTTTATATATTATTTATTTAAAAAAATTATTTTTATTTATTTATAAATAATGTTTTTATATTAAATTTTTTATGTAAAAAATATTTTTTATTATTTAATTTAAATTATTATCTATTAATTGATATTATAATTAATTTTATAAAATAAATAAATATAATATATAAAATTAAAAATTTTTAAATATATATATTAATAAAAATATATAAATAATAATAAAAGTTAAAGTTAAATTTATTAGTAATAAAAATTAAAATTTTATATAAAATAATGAAGAAAGTTAAAAATAATATAATAAAAATATAATATTATATAGTATATTATTTTTTAAATAAAAGATCTTTAAATTAAAATATTTTTTAATATAATAATTAATTTTTAATAATGATTTGAATTTTATTTATAATATAATAGTAAAATATAAAATATATTATTTTATTATTTTTAAATATATATTTTTTATAAAAATATTTAAAAAAAATTATTTTTAAAAAATTATATTTTTTAATCTGTTAATTTTTTTATTATTATAAATATATAAATATATAAATATTATAATTTTAAATTTAACTTTTAATATTAATATTTAAATTTCTTTATATATAATTAAATTTTTAAAAAATATTATAGAAAATATTTATATAATTAAAGTATATAAATATATAAAATAAAATTTTTATTTATAAAACTTTAAAAAAGTATTTCTAATAATTAAATTAATAAAATAACTATAAAGTAATATATATAAAAAAATTAATAATTATAATTTTAAATTATATAAAAAATATCTTAAATTTAATAATATAATATTAAAAATTAAATATATTATTTAGTTTATCTTAAATAATATTTAATTAGTATTTTATTTATCATTAATTAAAGCAGCTACATGTTTATGTTACATATAAATTATTACTATTTTTAAATTAAAAATTATATTAATACTAGTTTTAAAATTTACTATTTTATTACATGTCTTTTTATAGAGATTTATATATTATTTTCTTCATTATTTGAAATAAATTTGCAAAATTAAAATTTCTTTATTCTTTAAAATTTATTTTTAAAAGTAAAATTTCTTTGTATAATTAGATTTAAAGATGTACTTAATTTTATACTTATAAACTTATCATAATCACCGATCACATACGTATAAAATAGGATAATATTTAAATTTAAGTGAAGTTATTATGTTGCATTTAAATATAGATAACGTGTAAAACCAGCATTCTTTAAAAAGTTAATAATCTTAAAATATCTATTTCAAAACGGTTAACAGTAAATACGTAGTTATGTTTGGTTTCAGATCCAGACAAAGAGTTTACTTCCTGCTTCATTGTCATTTAGGTTACTTTCTTCTTGTACTTTTGGTAATCTTGTTTGGCTATATAAAGTCCTCTGGAACCCCAGATGAACTGAATGAGATCCTGCATTCCAAGGATAAAAACATATCACAGTATAATCTCTGACATATATAGAAAGCTTCAGAAGCAACAGCACAACCATGCAGCTTTCCTTTCTCTATTTAATCAGTGCCTTTCTCAGCGTCGCTGGCGCGGCATGCACACCCAGACAATCGGTGAGTCTGGTTATTTGGATTTATTCCGCTGATGTTTTTATCCCTTCTTCCTCATGTTCTTCCTGCCCAGCTTTCCCTGCTTCTTCCCAATCTTACCCAGATCCACCAGCGACAAAAATGAAGACATGGATATTGATTGATCTTGTGGTGAATTCACCGTGGGCTTCAGAATCAAACAGAACGGTCTCAGCATCCATAACTTTACCAGCAACATGAAAAGCGATGTCGACGGCTTCTATCATGTCGGCTCCGATGGCATTCTGCGCTCTTTTGATAGAAATGGGATGGTCATTGACTTCAACCGCCTGAACGAGAAACAGCTATTAGCCGTTGGGAAAGAATTACCCCAACAAAGCAACTATCTGAAGGAATTGTCTGCAAATGCGAATAGCACGCAGGTCGATGAGGACGCGATCTGGTCCCCGACGCCATCCATTCCTCCACCATCGCTGAACAAGACAAAACGTGGGTTGGTTAAAAGGAGAGAAGGCCCCCCGCCAACTCCTGGACCAGACCGGTGCAATCAGTTTGGATGTGTAAGTCATATGGAATGCACGGTGGTAAATTGTCGTTTGTGCGTGCATTTTCCTGATGGTGAGCTTGGTATTTGTGCCCCTTAGACGGCCGATCTGGGTATCCTATACCCACACGTCCAGAAATTTCGGGGTTTAATGGGAAGGGGGGAAAGGGGGAGAAGGGGGAAAGGTTTGTGTTGGAAGATTGATATATGTTTGTTGTCAAAATAGCGATAGACTGCTTTGGTTATTCACCCACTTCATGTCCCTCTTTAGTGATGGAAGCTCCGTGAGGCTTTTACCTTGAGCTTCAAGGATCAATCTCTTATATTGCAGAAGTCGCTTTGTGGACTCTCAACTCTTCGACACTCGACTCTGTTCCATAGTTGTATCAATATAGTTGATTAAAGGACCCACAAATTTCAGTTATCGATCTAACTAATTCATGTGACCAAACTAGTCCATATCGGGAAGGGATCTTGGTGTTGAAACAACGGAATCCTCGGTTGGGCGTAACGTGACATAGCGATATAGATTAACCAACGTGAAACTACCAGTGTATGATGATGACTCTCGCGTTCGTATCTTAATGCGGCATCCGGGGAGGCGGAGGCTAGCCTATCTACATCACGTGCAGCAGGCAGAGAGTAAGCGAAGGACGATGGAACAGTGATGCAGGTGGTTGGGGCAAGGCGGCCCAATATGACTCTGCTGCTTGTAACTATTTTGAGTTTTGTTTGGCCTTCGGCCCCCAAGAGCAACCCGTAACCCTATTTAAACCAATCCAGAACTCCGGGTTTCTTAACGGGACGGACAGCAAATCTGGATTTTTTAACCACAGCCAACCGGTCAAGACCGGCTAGCAGATAACTAGCTAGTGCCTCCCCAAAGATGAGGGGAGATTAAACTCTCCTCCCACGCCGCCTCCACCAAGAAACCCCAATATCACGTGATGTAGCTATTCTCATCCGCCGGTGCCCTTGATAGTCTCAGGTCTATTTCTCGCCAGTGATCAGGTGATGCCTATGATTGTTTCTCGTCCTTTTGTCCAGGATGTTATGATAGAACTCCGGAGCACCCCGGCGACCTTTTGCCAGGTAATTTGTAGTCCCTACAATGTCATCCTTGAATAGCCCTAATTAGGCTTAGCGCTTTAAGCTACGGGTGTTTAGGTCCCAACAAGCCGTGGCTTACATAACACCTGGCCGATTCTGTGATCGGTTGAGGCTTCAACTTCACTCAATTTCCATTCAGCCCATTATTTCCAGTAACCAGAGGATATGAAGAGGTAGAAGGACATAGAGAGTCCATTATCCCTTATTTGCTTGGTGAGTGCCTGCAATGTCTTGTTGCTGCATGCAAATTGTAGCTAGGGAGCTCGGCTGGAATGGGCTACGGCTAACCTTCGGACCTCGTAGTTAACTAACCCAGGTTCCGCTTCTGCACCGGAAAATCACTTTACGAAACATCTGATCTTGCTTTGCTCTGTCCTGCGCCCTCTTGCTCCAGGCCCGCAAATACCATCAACCTGATTCTACATTCCTCTTAATCTACTCCTGATACAGACCTTCGGATCCTAAGGTATGCATTGTTACCCAACCCAGCCATACGAGTCTTCCTCTCGCCCTCTCTCAACTCTCCTCCTCTCCATATATACCCCCGAGCTCCACCCCATTGGCCATATTCTCCCGTTACCAGCTAATTCCACAAACCATAAATTAGTAAGATGGAAAAGGCAGTAATAATAACTGACTAATTGTTTTTGATATCGTCAGTTCCTCTCTTTCTCCCATCCCCGTTCCTCGCGACGAAGACGTCCCCTATTCCCTTGGTCAGGGCCCCTTTCAGCGACCCCAGCGTCTCATTGAGCGTTCTCTGCAACTATGGCCACTACCCAAGCCCCCCCCGCGGCGGGCTCATCGAAACCACTCGAGAAAAAACCGGTCAAGTTTAGCAATCTGCTGCGTGAGTGACTTCCATGACATAATAGGAAAATTTGAAGGATGGTCCGCAATGCGAGTGGAGGGAATGTGATTTTTCTAACTTTTTCATGTATCTATTTAGTTGGCGCGGGTTTGAATATGTTCGAGTAAGTTTTCCTCAGATTGCACCGTGGCAGTTTTTCTTGTTGCTAATGAACTTTTAGGGTCACGACGCTGGGACAGGTAATTTCTTCCGATCTATCTTAATTCTCTACGAAGCAGAAACCCAGTTCTAACTTATTCCAGCCGCTGGAAGTGATCAAGACGACCATGGCCGCTAACAGAAACGATTCGTTCGCTGGCGCCATGCGTCGGATTTGGGGTCGTGGCGGAGTATTTGGGTGTTAGTAATCTCTCGATTGTGCTTCTTCTATTTTTTTTTTTTTTAAAAAACCCTTTCCACAATTCAAGAGCTCAACTAACTCCATATAAACAGACTACCAAGGTCTCATTCCCTGGGCCTGGATTGAGGCGTCTACTAAAGGTGCTGTGCTCCTCTTCGTCGCGTCGGAAGCGGAATACTACGCCAAAACCTTCGGCGCCAACGACTTCATCGCTGGCATTAGTGGAGGTATGGCTGGTGGCATCGCCCAGGCCTATGCAACCATGGGTTTCTGCACGTGCATGAAAACCGTCGAAATCACCAAGCATAAGCTGGCTGCCTCGGGCATGAAACCGCCCGGCACCTTCGCGACGTTTATGGACATTTATCGCAAAGAGGGCATTCGAGGGATTAATAAAGGTGTTAATGCTGTTGCGATTCGGCAGACGACGAATTGGGGGTCTCGGTTTGGGCTGTCTCGATTGGCGGAGACGGCTATTCGTCGTGTTACGGGTAAGGAGGAGAGCGAGAAGCTTAGTGGGGCGGAGAAGGTGCTTGCTTCGGGTCTTGGTGGTGGGTTGTCGGCGTGGAATCAGCCAATCGAGGTTATCCGGGTTGAGATGCAGAGTAAGACTGTGGATCCGAATAGGCCTAAGAAATTGACGGTGGGCAAGACGTTGAAGTATATCTATGAAACCAATGGGCTGAAGGGTTTGTATCGTGGCGTTACTCCCCGTATTGGCCTGGGGATCTGGCAGACCATTTGCATGGTTGCGTTGGGTGATATGTATGTTTTTGCCCCCTTTTGTCACTTCTAATTTCCTCTTGTTTGTCCACTTCTCTGGGGATATATGTGCTAACCGTCATTTCTTCCACACAGGGCTAAGGAAACTGTCGAGAAATTGACGGGCGACAAGATCACCGCCAAACACTAGGCACTTCATGGAAATTCATAACTGCCATTAACAGTTGAGAGAAAGGGTTAGAAAGACAAAAGTATTTTTTAGGCGATTTCGTCTTGCATTCTTGCCTTAAGATTTATCTTCTTTCGTATTGGACGTTTTGACATAAGACTATCTGCTCGCTTCTCAGGTCGTACCGTACCCATAGTCTTTTCCATTTGCCCGTCCTTTGGGCTGCGGCGAATACACTACCCTTTTGTGTCCTGTTTATGTCTATTTTGGGTCATTGCACAGTTCCAAATTTTGTTTTTGGTCCCCTAGGACTTCTCTTGTCCTGTAATATGCAGCTGGTGCGTGCCTGCATGACGCTTGAGTTATATATAGTTCCTTTTTCATCCTAAAGATAGAATCGGATTATTATTCTAATAGTTGAATCCAACATTCATTGACAATAGTAACCATGGAAGCCTCCCTTTAGTATGCCCTTTTAAAATGCTTTTTGGCTGAATGATGTTTTCAATATAACGAGCATAGGGTGGGTGGGGAATATAGGACTTCCTGTCTGATCAGCCGTTCTCAAGTCACGCGCCGACCTGTTAGTAGTTGGGTGGGTGGTGGCTACCAACGAATCCGGGCTTTCGTATGTCGTTTCTTTTGTGCTCTAGTCTGGACTTTCTTTTACAATTCTGCTGGCTGCTGGTGATATTGTATACTCCTGCCATTCGTACTTGGACCCATTCAACTGGTTGGTTGCCATTAACGCCCTTTATATTGAAGTTCAATCAGAACTCTTTGACTGTGTATTGTCAAATTTGTTGTTCCCTTAGTCCTTGGAATCTTCGCTGTTTCAGACCTCCGTGACACATTCAGCGGACTTCAGGTGGCCCCACCCTGTGTTGATATTTTCCTGGAAAGAAGAAAACTCATACACATAATTTCACTCTCACAAAACATCAATACCCTGCAAGGTCCGCTCTATGATTTAATCGTTTTCTGAAAATAGTGTTTGTCGATTTAATCCCCTTTTCAGCCAACTGTATTTAATGTCATCAAATGACCTTATTTTCTCATTCTCTCCTCTTCTATTTTGATCCCCGACACCCCTTTTAAGATCCAGTTAATGCCCGGTGGCTGTGTTGCTTCTCAACACCTTTGATAGTCATAGTCATTTCTCCCAATCCAGTTGTGTAATGGGCGCATCATATTGCTTTCGTTTGAAATGACAGGCTTCTGGTGGTTGGAACTTTTCACGTTCATCACAGCGTGTGAATGCCATGGCGGTGGCGTGAGGCAAGTTTATCACGATGTATTCGATCATGCATCATTGATATCTTATTTGCAACGCCATGCGAGCCTGGTATATTAGGCGTTTCCATTTGTTAGGGTCCATCACCATCGTTTTCAGGTTAGGGTTCATGGTCCCAGAGTGCCTGCGATGGCCAGAACTCACCTCCCTGTTCGCGCTGACATAGCCAAAACAACCTGTAGCCTTAAGGGCACCCAGGACTACGCAGTCGAAAGAGAGGGCTGCGAACCAAATTATTTTAAATTGAAGGATGGCTCGAAATTTTTTTTGCGAGAGTGGAGAAAATGGTGTGGATATTAAGCAAAATGAATAAAGCAGATTTTGAGGAATCGAGTCTGATACAAGATGACGCGTTTTGAATAAAACTTCTTCCGAGGTTGAAGGATGCTGAAAGGTCTTTATTTCCAAAAGGAGGAAAAATTTATGGAGTATAGGTTAACTTTCCTTTTGCCATTTCATCGTGCCATGAGTCTCTCGAAGCAGTGGACGGAGATTTATCACCGACTTAGCAGCCGCCCCTAAGTAGGAGGGAGACATTGCAAGGATTGCATTTGCAAGGAAATGGCCTTGTTGTGCCGGTATAAGGAAAACCGACGGAGTTGAGCCGGGCACCTTTCCAACCTAGAGACCTGCACACAAACTCTATCAACGACGGCGATGAGGACGAGAATGCAGAGTTTCATGAAAACCCTAGTATTAGAAAACAAAGTACTGACCCCCCAACAACCGGGAAAAAGTGAACCAAAGGCAATCCCTCGTAACGATTTCAAAGCCAAGCTGCGCATTACCGCAACATTACATTCCCAACATGACAAGAAATCAGACCGCTGGAAACCCTCCTTCTCCACAGGCTGCTAGTTTCAAGGGCCATGCGGACATTGCGGCGCTGCTGCAGCTACTCGGGGCGGACCCTAATGCGCAGGGGTATCAGTTCGGTAGTGTGTTGCAGGCTGCGTCGTTGCAGAATCATGTGGAAATTGTACGGTTGTTGCTGGCTGGTGGGGCGGATGTGCGGTTGAAGGGGGAAGCATGGGACCGAGCTGGCAGCGGCGGAACATATGGGGCTTGGAGGGGTTGTGAGGGTGTTGGTGGAGAGTAGGGCGCGTGCTGCTGATGGTGGCGGTGAAAGCCGGGGGATTAGAATCATGTTGCCGGTGGTGGGCGGGATTTAATATTTATTAATTTGCAGATGTATAACTATGCATGTACCATTTCTTTGGCAGACGTCAAATATAATTTTCGGTAATGGATAATTAATCGTTTGGAGAGAGGGCGAGAGAGCTGGCAGTACGCTTGTTTAGCTAATGTACATACAATAAATACATGTTTTTTATTTTCAAGAATTTCTCCCACGATATGGCATCCTTATGTTGAATTTAAGTATGTACAGTGTAACTTACTCGTGCGTTCTCCAAACCCTGAAATACAACGTTGGTTAATGACTTAAGAAAGGCAAAAGAGTGCCATGTCTATCTTTTTTGCATGAGTTTATTTTCTCCCTCATATTCCCACACTTTTCCCACGAGCTACCATAGATGACGTATGTACTTTTAATCTAACAGGGGGTTTGGTTGTCTGCAATACAATTACAAAAGAATTCTGGGCGGGAGATGTGATGCCAACTTGGAACTTACAAACAAGGAAAGGGAATGCAGATAACAAAAGACAGGAAGAATGTAATTGAGGCTGGGAGGCTCATCCAAAATTTTGCCTCATGCCTTCCATTTTTATATTTTCCATATTAGCAATGAGACCATTGGAGCTTCAAGAATTGTTGAAGAGGGAAGAAAGTGGGTGTGGTAGATTTGGGGTTCTCTAATGTAACAGGGAGGAATAGTGTGAATGGTAACGCCAATGGCACCATATTTAAACGGTCAAGCCGATTTCTGCGGCGAAGGGGAGGACGTGCAGATCGCCAACAGCGGAGATGGATGCCTTGCCGGAAAGGAGGGATTTGGCGGCCTATTGGGGGTTTATCAGCACAATATCTAAAATAGAACAGAAACAGAAAATATGGCATTTGGGTTGGGGGTTATTACGTACCGCCTTAACCTGTTGTTCAGCGACTTTCTCGATACCCTGGCCAATATCAGATATCTGGAGTGGCTTGCCACCGTGGACTAGTCTGGATCCGGTGAACTCAAGGAAAGATGTGGCATGATCTGCAGCCTCCAATGAGCGAAATTTGGCGAGGGCAGAAGCCTTCTTGATATCCTCACTGCTGACATTGCCTGCCGCAACCTTCTCAATCGTCTCGACAATGCTCTTGCTGGCAGCCGCAACACTCTGCGCCTTGCCAGAGACGGTGATATGGAGAAGGCCGGCGTCAGAGTAAGTAGCGTTGTTGGTTGACACGGTTACGTCAGAGTATGCCTCAGTGGCCTTGGCAAGGAGAGAGGTTCCACGAGACCATTTGATGGTGGACTGGCCTCCGAGGAGGGCAGCAAGGATCGCAAATTCTGGTTTGTAGTTGGCGCTGCCTATGGTACTGGAACCGGAGAAGGCAATTGCGATGGCATTGCCAACCTGGCTTGCAATTCTTTCCTCGCCTCCAAAGTACTTGGATGGCTCACTAGCCTTCGGGCTGAATGGTCCGGAGCTTGAGGTAGTAGGAATATCACGGCAGAGTTGGCCAACCCACTTGGACAAATCTGTAGTATTGGGGCCGCTTGAGACGATTGCAATGGATGGTTTTGAGTATGCTCCCTGAGCGAACGCTGCGATTCCTTCTGTTTCAACATACTTTCTGAAAGGTGATGGGGCACAAGGGATCAAATTCTCTCCAAGACCGCGGTGGAAAGCAACATTATGTGCGGAATCCAGCGCCTGGGCAGTTGGGTTTGCTGCAAGGCCCTTCTGGGAGTACTTAACGAGATCCAAGACAAGCTCATCAAGTTCATGTTCTGATAGTAAGAAAATTTATAGTCAGACTATATAGTTTGAAAAAAGGATTTTCGGGTATTGTTTTGCTGAGGAGCATTACTGACGGGAGTATTTGGTTCCTGATATTACCTCCACAAGGAGCTCTGCATAATAAGGGAGGTCATTGTTGAGGAATTTGGCGGTAAGGACGAGGTTTTCTCTCGAGTGAGATGCCGACAACTCCCCACCAAGCAACTCTGACTCGCGGGTGATCCGCAGCGCTGAGCGCTTGATAGTAGACTACCCAATTGCAGAATATCATCAGTCCCCAATCACATGCATGTGGATGGCCAATTGAGCCCATAAACAAAGCAAATCGTCCGCAATTGACTTACTTTAAAAGCAAACTTCTCCAAAAGATCAGAGTAACCCGGGAAGGGCTGGTACCGCGAACCAGCCTTTGCAACGAGGGATAGAGTGGTGGTACGTCCAGCAACCTCTCTATTAGCAAATTTCACACCAGCAGCCTCGCCAACCTCATATTCGAAGCCCTTATTAGCGGCCGCTGCCATTCCGCGGCGGGGGCTTGACTGGGCAATACATTGTTTTCGGAGACACCGTGGCGCATTCCGGCCGAAAGCAGACCGGGAAAGCATGATCGCACGTACTAGAGGAGTAGTCAATTGAAAGCAATTAGAGGTGGAGGCAAGGATGCAACGGCGTCTCGGGGTGGTTCTGAAGCCGTCGTGGAGATCTCGACGTTATATCAAGATGTCACCGTATGTCAATTTCGGGGAAGATGTAGAATTGGCGTCTGTAGCCTTTCCCGAAACGGAACTTGAGCGAGTCCGCATTTCTGAGCGGTATGATTGGCTGGATTGACGAAAGCTTGGCATCCCGGCTGCCGTATTTGTCCGGGATCATGTGACACTGGCGTTGTCGGGAACAGATGAGTCAGCAGCCCGATGGGCAATATTTTTCAGGCGGGCGGTTGATGAATGACAAGTCATCGATGCATTAATGTAGAGAGGAGGGAGGAGAGACACATATATCTAATTGTCTATACAACACAGGAAGCGTAAGCAGGGACTATTTGATACACGCTAAGGTATCTCATATTGTCTCTTGTCTACACACTCATGAATGCCCAACGGTGACATTGGGGTTCTCTTCTAGAGGAGCCCGCTCTTTCTCTCTAGAAGAATAACAGAGGAACATCATGTCTCAAGTGAGTTCCTGTCCCTCTATTTCAGTGTGCCTTGCTTTGCTGATATATGCTTGTATGCTGATGTGAGGGTCCTAGTATGCGGCAGAGCTATGCAAACTGCTAATCACAGACAATTTCGGGGAGCTCTATTCCGTAAGGCTTTCTCTACTCACCCACATAATGCGGAACTCTGACCTTTTTGTTTCTTTTAATAATCTAGTTAATATTTTCCTACCTGCTCTACCACGGCCGCCAACCTTTGTACAGAATAGTCCAGCATACTCATCTATCCCCTCTCCAAGTTAGACATGGTCTGGCTGTTCTAATCCAACAGCATCTAATATACCATTGCACTTCCCTGGACGACGGGATTACATACTATGAAGCTAGCTGGAGGACTGCGTACAATCTCGTACGGTCGGGAAAGGTCATACAATTGGTCGAAGAAAGACTGGGGGAGTATGCTGCCAAGGTGATGTCCACCATCATCTATCTTGGTCATGTGAAGATTAGCTATTTAGAGGCGCTACCAGAGCTACAACCTCAAGCTCAGCGGAAAGCAGAAGATGATACAGGCGGAAATGGACCCAATGACGCACAGGAGGGCGAAGATGACGCTGTAGATCCAGAGGGAGTAGAGCTGAAAATAGAAGATGGCGAACAAGTTGAGGTAGGAGGGCTGGAAAACGGCATTAATGGCAATCACGACGAGCATGAAGTCTCGCAACTTCACCCCACTTTGCGATTGCTTGCTACTTATGGATATATTATGAAGGTACGGGATGCCCATTTCCAAAGTCCGTCAGATCTTGTCGAGGATGCCGAAAGGGCCATTGGCGCACGGTCGGATGTACGTGGTTTGAAGGGGAAGAGGCTCCAGGAAGCGATTGAGACCGGAGTGCAGGTGTACATTCAAGAGAAAACAGATGGAACGATATCTCAAGGGCCAGTTGGAAGGGGTTTACCCAGGGGCACTAAACGACGCGCCGGAAGGTGGACAACACACTCTTCAAACAAAAGAGTGAAGAGTGAACATGCGGCAGAAGATGAGGCCGATGGGCGCTATGATGACATCAGCGATGATGACTATGTGGATGACAATGCTACACCGATGGATGTGAGTGATCTTTTCCAGTTACATGTGCTATGCCATGTGGTGCTGACTTTCTATAGTGTAATATGATTGTTCGTGTCAATTTTCAGAAATTCGAGGTCGCATTACGAAACAGACGTTTTGTTAGATTGGCTGCACATCATACCTCCGCGGTGACCTCTCAAGTCTACGAAGCGCTACTTGATCGCATTGAACTTAAAACTCCTGTATGCCGAAAGCAGCTAGAGCGCGCTCCCGAGGGGGAGGAAGGCGAGCAATATTCCGTCGCTATCCCGCTACATACCATCCTAGACGACCTTGACCCCTGCCTGGAGCTCTCGGGTTCCATGGCTAAAACAGATCCAAAGAGCCCACTTTCAAATGGACACATAGGCCTCAATGGAGACTACGACAATGACAACGGGGGAGGTACCCGAAAGAGTAACAAAAACCGAATATATGAACTCGAGCAACACCTGTCTCTCCTGGCCCAGGAACCACATATTTTCTCCACACGCAGCATGCAATCGGGCATGATAACCTGGGCTGTGGAATTCAGACATCTCGCCTGCCGACTCCGCCATCTTGAACTCGAGCGCATTATCGAATCGCGCTTCGGGACCATTGCAGTGCGTGTTGTCCGCGTACTCGCTGCAAAGGGAAAACTGGATGAGAAACGCCTTCAGGAAATCAGCCTGATGGCGTCTAAGGAACTACGCCAGGTGCTTGCGCGTATGGAAGCGGCTGGCTTCGTTGACCTGCAGGAAGTACCACGCGACACACAGCGCCAGCCGTCTCGGACTATGTATCTTTGGTTCTTCGATCCGGACCGCGTGGGCACTATGGTCCTAGAGGATACGTATAAGTCCATGTCGCGCTGCCTGCAGCGCATGGCTGTTGAGAGGAATAAGTTGAAGTTCTTTTTGGAAAAAACAGAGCGCACGGATGTTAAGGGGAATGAAGAGAAGTATTTGTCTGCTGCGGAGCTCAAGATGTTGAAAGAGTGGCGCGATAAGGAGGCTCTGCTACTTGGGGAGGTTGGAAGGTTAGATGACATAGTTGCTGTTTTGAGAGATTATTGAATTCGCTTTTCTTTTCTTTCTTATTCGATTTTTCGATTTTTCGTTTGGTGAGCGCCTTTTTCAAATTTCTCGTCACATTTTAGACATTATAACTCCCATCTTCCACACTCTGTTTATGATTTTTATTTTGTTTGCCTTGGGACACAAATGACAGAGTAATACCGCGGTTGGCCAATGAATATCTAAATTTTCTGCATTCATCTACAGATATCCACACGGCCGATTTCCGCTTTCACAAGCTACCCAATTTTGGGAAGTTCGAGCTTCCATGCTTACTGACACTCTGATGCCAATTGGAGTAACCTATGATCAGATACTTGTTTTGCAGATGAATGACCTGCAAAAGTGATGTTGAGTTGGGATTCCTCTGTGAATGACTTATAAGTCTATATGACAGCGATTAGGTTAAGTTTATACCTCCCGTGAATTCCACAAGACTAATTGCAACATCTCCCCGTCCCATAACCCTACATGGCCATAGAATGGGAGAAGGAGAAGACGCTCACTAGCCATCATCCAAGACTTGTCTAATGGAAACAGCTCCTTTTCAGATGTCTAAGTCCCCGCACTCTTGCAGCTTTCCTAGTGTCAAGGCTTCGTTAATATCACCAATCAAATACATTATTGTGTGTGGGGGGTGTCGGGACGCCAAATCTGGATTTGGAAATTGAATATGGATGTTTTCGCATGAGTGTCCTCTAGTTGAAAAAGTCACACAGCTGAGATCAAGGCCAGAGTGTAATTATGTTATAAGCAGTCTTGAAAGGCCTCACTGCAACCTTGGAACCCCTAGGTCAAGCCAGCTGAAAGCGATGTCAGTTTATCTGTCCAGCTTTAGTTTAGAACTCTTCCTCCACGGAGCGACCACCTAAACTGCACATCCTAATAGAACCCACATTCCTAGGTCTTACTCGTTTGTGCATTTATGCTTCTGGGTGGGCTTCCTCGCCACATCTTGGTTTGGGGCGATTAACCTTGCAGCGATGACAGCCGGTCAATGCTGGCTTAATTGAATGGTCGGAAGAAACATAATCCCATATGGGTCTCAACCTCTTTGGTAATAACAGCCAGGGGATTTTTCATTCCTATTCTCTTGTCCATGTCTTGTTTCAATTAGAGAACCTCGTTTGGCCCCAGAGATGATTTCCCTTGGGGAAACATGACGGATAGTTCCTCGCCGCCCTTGGCACCCCTTGACAACTCCCCAAATATACAAACAGCTTGATCAATAATCGCAACTGGACACACAATATCGTTCTCGCCTCCTCCCAAAATGGCCAAAATGGCCTCTATGTCCTCTCATCAGCGACAGTCACAACCATGTAAACGCTCTCCAGCTTCCCTGGAATCAAATTTGGCTTGATGGTTGGCATCGGCGCCGTCATTCCGAGTCGAAAAAATGACATTCAGCTCGGGGATATTGTTGTTAGGACCCGCAGCAGCGAAAACCCTAGTGTTAGGCAATACTATTTCGGGAAAGCTACTGTTCCTCTTTCAAACGAGTGGCTATCTGAACCGTCCTCTCCGTGTCCTCCTCAGCGCTGTAAGCCTGCTCATAAGGGAATATGATCTGGGTGGTAGCAAGATACCAAAGACCTACAAGAGGTTTATCGGAAGAGACCAAAGGATGGCTCAAGCGGGATGAGAGCCCGGTTACGTCCATCAAGGTGCAAAGTACGATTGACTTTTTAAAGTGGATTATAAGCATATACAAGACCAAGAGAACTTTGACAACTATAGCGAAGGAAATGAGGAGATACGTCTAGAACGGTCCGACGAAGAGCCATGCGTTCACTCCGGCGGCATTGTTTCTGGGAACTTTGTAATAAGGAATGCAGTAATGCGCGATTTGCTGGCGCAGAGCTGTCTTTGCTTTGAAATGAAAACTGCCGGCTTGATGAATTATTCTCCTTGTCTTGTCATCTGGGGAATCTGGGACTTCTGTGGTATGCACAAAAATGACCGTTGGCAAAAATATGCTGCTGCTGCCGCAGCGGCGGCATATGCCAAAGGGCTACTGGGTGTTATGGACGCGGACATTAGTGAGGTTAAGAAGGAGAAGAGGGCGCGCGAGATATTAGATTACCGTGAGCAAGTAATTCTTTCTTCTCTTTTGAAGTTTCAGATTTTATTGTTCAGTTCTGTCTCGGGCGCTATATCACAAACCGGATGTTATTAGGGATAATACATACCTACATGTATTCATGTCGGGTATTTTCATAAGTGGTGTTTTGACCAAATATTAGTTGTCACTATATCTTTTCTTTTACTAATTCAGAATGGCAGTGCAAGAACTGGCAACCAAAACAAACGTAATTGAAATACATACCAAATCCTTGGTCAACGATAGAATGCATGAGAAGCTCCTCAAATGGCTGTCTTCCCTCAACTCATCCTGGCACCCTGAGTGCCAAAAGAAGCGGGTTGACGGTACCAGCACGTAACTAGCTACTTAAGGATCTTAAATATCTCGACCGGTCGTTCGAGACAGCGACCTGCCGAACACTATGCTACTATGGAGATCCAGGCAGGGAAACGGTTCCCTCGTAGGTAAAAAGCCGACATTTTCTCTCAGTAAACAAGTTGTACAAATTGACTCTCCCGAATAGATCCTTTGTCATCGATCGGCTACGGGAACAATCTGCCCTTGACAACAGGCGTTCCGTACTTATACTGCGATTAGAGGGAACAAGAGACGTAGACGCCGGAAAACATCCTTGGTGCTCTGCTGAAACAGTTGCTTCAATGTCTTCCCGAAGTACCCGAAGATGTTTTGAGAGAATGGCAAGCTTCTTCAACAATTGTAAAGGTTGCTAACTACGGGAACGACTAACTTAATAGTTAACTAGTTATACGGTGGAAATAGGTCACGTGACGGAAGGTCTGACATGTTTTGGGGCCTTTGGGAAAACTGGAATGAGAAGCTCTAGACGCAATTGATGAACTGACAGACATGCGCAGGCTTTTTGTAATGCTTGCCAAGAAAAAGGCTCTGTCTCCGTGCGGATATTCGTGACTAGCCGTCCCCATGCCCTTGAGACAGTCCACATTTATTTTGGAGAGACACCTACCATTCCGATTGTCGCCCGTGAGAGTGATATTCGGCTGTTTATAGAACATGAGATTGGCGGGCCTAATGATTATGATCATGATACTATGGATGAAAAAACTCAAATGCAATATCTTTAAGAGAGCTATTGACTCTGCTCAGGGAATGCAGGCTCATATTTATGTCCATTGGCCATCATTAAATTTCATGCTAATATCGAATTAGATTTCTATTGCCTGCATTAAAAATGCGGACTATCCTAGAGGACCAAACTGTCCTCGATTGTGAAGAATCACTGAAACCGTTGCCATCAAACCTTGATGACGCATTTGCAGGAACAATGGAAAGGATTGAGAGGCAAACAGATTCACAGTTTAAACTGGAAGCAAGGGCAATTGCCTTAGTCCATTTGGAAGAGTGAACACTCAAAATTAGCGAACTCTTGTGGAGAGTCTTGATTAGGCACGGACAGAATCCTTCAACGCGGGTGGCTTTTTCGAAAAGCACATTGCTGAATTGCTGTCATGGCTTCATTGTAGTTGATCAGGAGACATCTAATGCCCGCTTGGTCCATTTCTCCAAAGAGTATCTCCAGCCATTAGGCCCTGTACTTGGGCAACCTAAACAGCATTGGGACAGCCGCATCGCCCGTACCTGTTTTTGTTTTCTACATTTCAAGTCTGTGACGACCGCGGAAGCACCAGAGATGTACAGAGAGCTTTGCGAGAAAACGAAGGATAATTAAATTCCGACTGATCTTATGCTACTGGACTATGCCTCCACCAAATGGGCCCACCACTTTCGAAGGAGCGAAGATCTGCTAGACGCGCCTTGGAGCTTGCTAAATCCTATTTGTATTCGAATGGTGGTCGTTTGCAGCATGATTCTTTGAGCGTGCGTCTTCTGTGTAGAGCGATGTGCGAATTTTGGCAAAAAGGAGTCTATGTGATAGCTTATCGTCTTTACATATTATGGCCTGTCATGGGATTTCACAACTTATGTTCTAACCTGTTTTGGCCGTTCATGACATTGATTCCAGCGACTCTGGTCATCAGACGCCGCTACCATGGGCAGCCGCGAGTGGACAAGGCGTCTTTGTAAGGATGCTGATTGAGAGGGGTGCTTCAGTGGACTCAAGGGATTGGAAAGGGCAAACAACATTATTTCTGGCAGCACGGAACGGACAAGTGGGAGTAGCAAAGTTCTCTGATTGCGAAGGGAGTCCTTGTGGATTCAACGAGCAACATGGTTTCAACAACACTTAGGATCGCCTGACTATCAGGCCATAAGCCTGTGGTGCGGCTGTTTCTGGAGAAGGGTGCTGTGGCCAACAGGGAGTACTGGTTTTCGCTCTACACAGCTGTCTCAGAGGGGCATGAGGGATACTGAGGCACTTCATTGAAAAAGGTGCACCATTGGATTGGGTGAGCGAAAGAGGCTATCCGTTGCTACAATTCGCTGCGAACGGCGGACATGAGAGCGTGGTCAGACTCTTAATAAAAATGACCTTGCAGTGGACCCAGGGAATGGGAATAATCGGACCCCATTTTCATGGGTTGCGATGTCTGGGTGCTTTCCGTTGTGAAGCTACTGATGAGGATGCAGCTGAGGTGGACTCAAGAGATGTGGTCGGAAGAACACCACTGAAGTTGGGAAGTTATTGATTGATCAGGGTGCTTCAGTAAAAGCAGTGAATTTGTATAGCCGAACACCACTAGCATATGAGCACAGGGGGTTGGTGCGTTTGTTAATCAAGAAAAGCAGTTTTGCGTTGAAGACCCAGGATAGAACCACTGGTCGAATGGCATTATCATTTGCTGAAGAGATGGAACAGAATGAGGAAGTGAATTGGTTGGAAACTGTTATGAGTTGATTCTTTAATTCAGTCAATCCCCCCTCGAACAATGAATTCTCTGTGAGATTATTAGAAATTTAAGGTGACAAGTCATTAGAGAATTTAGCACTCAATCGAGAAGATGATATTGAATTTTTCAATCGAAATAAGTCAGGGAAACATGGCATCCGGGAACTGGGACTGGACATTCTCCATAACTTCCTCAAAGGAAAGCGAAACTTGGCAACGAAATGAGATTTGGGGCTCGCAGTTGTCGAAATAACAAATCACCCTTTTTCAAGGCCGTCAAATTTGGAAATGTATCTTCATCAGCCAGGCGATATCCAAATTTCATGGCATGCTCACTTTCCAGAGGGTTGTTGATACTTGACTGAACAACGAAATATCAGTACTAACTGTGATTGAATGCTCACAGTTCCAAAGTTTATGACACAACTTACATGTAGCTGCATAGAAGCGCAATATTAGGGGAACAGGTTGATAAGCGAAAACTCAAGACAGCCGGGAATTCATACTGGTCATGATCAGTTGGCAGAAGCTAGTTAAACAATCATACAAAATGGCTCTATGATAAGAAACTCACGAGGGAATAGAGTGCATCAGATCGATACAAATACCTAGCTAGCTAAGTGTATAGCTACGCGTGTGTATATCCTGCAGATCTCGAAGAGTTGAGAGTTGAAGTTCCGTTGAAGCATTCAGGGGAATCGATGATTACGTAATCGCGCCTCAGAAAGTTAATCTCAACCCCTTTCACAACCCCTTCATCTTCCTCCTCTTTTCATCCCAGATCAACATGGCAAACCCTACCCATTGTAGCCTTTTGAGGCTTTTCAAAACCGATTCCATTCTGGCTCCTGCCAGACCCCACAAGGATGCGACTCTTTTCTATGTTAGCCCCAACGGCGGGGTTCTGTCCAGTTAATCCAACCCGTTTGCTCTGGCGCATAGGCACAGTTACAACTTGCCCCTGCGAATTCCCCCCTCAAACGCTGTCTTCGATCCTTTTTATTCTCAGATACTCAGTAGGAAATTTGATATTGGGTTTCTTCCTACGTTGTAGAACAAAAAATAAAAACAAAAATAGATAAAGTAACATCTCCTGTCACCTAAAAATTCTCAAGGATTTACTCATGATGACTAACAGCACCTTTGCAGATAGATATAATCGCTAGAATGCCGCTTGATACCCTTGCTACGGAGTTACTTCTCCACATATTTCACTCCTGCAATTCTATTGCCGATGTCTTGAATCTTTCCCTCACCTGCCGCCGTCTCCAAGGTGTATTCTCTTCCTCGCAAAAGCTCACCATTCTCGCCAACGCAGCTGAGACCGAATATGGACCTCTGGAGGACATAATACAGTTGGTCACTCAGAATGCCAGCCAACCAGCTCATATACGCCGTGAGGCACCGATTTCCATGTCCTTGATACAACAGGTCGTGGACGTTGGCCGCGTTGCCAAGAAATGGGAGGAGATCTATCCTCTTAAGAAGTGGAAAGTGGATTTCGAAAATCGTCGAGTCTTGGATTTTCGAGAACGTTTTATACTCCGCCGCGCTGTGTACCGCCTGTGGCTGTATTCGAGAGCTTTCCACTGCCAGCTATTTCCGCGAACTAGTCGCACTTTACCCTCCGTCGTCCATGAGCGAGCAGAACTCTTGCACAATTGGTCCACAAGCGAATTAGCTGAAATTGAGGATTTTCGGTTGGTTATGCGCGAGGTTATGCAGAACCAGATCTGCCCTAGCAATGACACAATCCAGCGAAAGTGCCGTAAAAGATATCTAGAAAGGACGCCAGCCTACAATATCCACTTAAGCTCCCCCTCATTACTGATGCCTTCCACTCAGTTCGCTATACTAGACTCACAATCTAAACACGAGTTTGCTTCTTCTTCCATCGACAATGGCGTTTTCTGTAGCCTTGCACCCCGCAACCATAGGCTAGCCAACGGCGTCATCTCTACAGTGAACAAATATGCCACCAAATTCCGTTCTGATCTCTACCATGAGCCAGGAGCCGAGGGATGGGGTGACCAAATCAACCACTACTATGTTGTAGAGGATATGATGAAACTGGACCCATCTCAGGTATTATGGTTAAGAGAAAACGCCCCTTTCAAGGAGCAGGTGGAAAGCTACGTTCGATGGATAGGTGACTGGTTCGAGAACAATGGCGAGACCTTCGGGCAGACGCTAGAATGGGTAATAAGTGAGCGTGGAGATGACTACATGGCCTTGCATTTTTCAATTGTAGACGGGGAAGCGGGTATCGCCAAGGCGAAGACATGACCGTCATCTTGTCATCATCTCATTTCCTACATAGATTTTCCTTTTCGTCTGAAACTTTCGGATTACGCTTACCTTTACTGGATTGGAAATTGTCTTTAAGATGCGGTTTTGGTCTTACATCATTTGGAACAAATGCATGCCAAAAATACCCACTTCAGTTGTAATTCCGCTAGAAACATTATAAATTTAATGTAATGCGACACTAGCGGTGCTTTGCCTTCTCAGTGCCAGTAATTCACTAGAAGAGCGGTGGTCAGTTTTGTAACCCAAATACTAAGTCAACTTTCATGTTAACTACAAAAGAATTTTCTGTTTTTGGTATAACTTATCATGGAGTTGTTACATATAAGAGAACCATCATCAACCTGGTTGGTAAAGAACATATGTACCTTGCCCTTGTGTATTGAGGCCACATGGCAAGGAACAAACGGTAGCCCAGTTGAAATGGGTCTCGTTTGTGGTCATGACTTTGAACTTAGGTGGTGGGTTGGGCTTTCAGAACAAAGAGGGAGAACAAATATGGAGTATATGTCGAAATCAAGGAATATTTTTAAATCATAGAACATACTCACGCAAATAGATCATTGCAAGTTATATTAGATTTTTATTAGATACCTCGACATACCCAGCTATGCTACATGTTGGCTACCATCTCATCTATTGAGATATAGTACGAGTTGCACCAATGGAGTGGAAAGAGTTAACCATGGCATGGAACCTGGGTCCTGTGCAGCAAGACCTAAAGGAGGAAGCCCATGGGGGAAGTAAAAACAGAAAAGTACAGAAGTATGGAATAAGAATTGGAAAGGAGTGGGCAACCAACAAGGCACAAGAGAAATAGAAGCTGAGTTTATTTGCAAGAAATAATTACTGGTGATGCAAAAGGAGGCAAAGAATTTGTAAAGAAAGTGGGCGTAAGAAATAAGATATAAGGGCAAAAATGGGTGTGGTGAAAAAAGGTTCAAAACAAAACAGAACATATAGAAATTCAAGAAGTGGTAGAAAACAATAAAGGTGTCCCGCAGTCCCAGATCGCGTAGCCCTGGACGTTCAATTTTCAAACACCCTCTCCCCAGCTTTCTAAATCTTTCCATGTTCGTTGTCTTCATGTCAAGCGTATTACGTTCTTCGCATTATCCTGTCCAAGGCCGTCGAATGGAAGAGGGAACAGAAAACAGGAAAGAAATCTGTGCAGGTATGCCACCCAATGGCAACTCACAGATGGCATGACACGTAAATTAACGCAACTGATAGTTTCAGTCAATCGATTCAGCAACGGGCGGGCAGACAAAAAGCATAGCAAAGTGAAGTCACCATATGTTGAGAAGAACCAAAGAGTATAACAGATCAATCATTCAACTCCAACAAGACTGACAGGGTGTACTTCTTATCAAAGTACCAAAGCCATAGCTTGGGCACCACATATATCTCGGGGGCGATGCATGCTTAACAACATTTTTGCTTTGCGTCTGCATCTTGTGTCTTCGATATCTCTATTACCTTGCGATCACCCAGAGGATTCTGCGATGAGCTACCATTTTCGAGAGCTTTGCTAGAAACAATGCGATAAATTTCTAGATGCTATTAGCACTGTTTCCCCAATAAGGCGCAACAAGAGTGTTGATAATAAAAGATTATAGAATACCTGTGAGAATGTTTTGGAAAGCAAGCTCAACATTGGTGGCGTCGAGAGCAGAAGTCTCGATGAAGGACAGTTTCATCTCGTCTATATACTGATTAGCGGGTTACGCCTACAATAAAAGATGATCTCAATTCATGGGGGATATCATACCAGCAAACTCTACCGCATCCGAAGTCTTTACATCCCGCATATGTTTTTCATCAATTTTATTTCCGACGAGCATGATGACAATGTTCTTGTCGGCATGTTCACGTAGTTCCTTCAACCACCGCTCACAATTGGCAAACGTTTGCTTTTTGGTGGTATCGTAGACAAGAAGGGCACCCACTGCGCCACGATAATATGCAGATGTAATAGCCCTGTACCGTTCCTGGCCTGCAGTATCCCAGATTTGGGCCTTGATTGTCTTGCCATCTACCTGGATAGAGCGGGTTGCGAACTCAACACCGATGGTAGACTTTGAATCGAGGTTGAACTCATTGCGAGTGAATCGGCTTAGAAGATTCGACTTTCCAACTCCAGAATCACCAATAAGCACCACTATTTACAAATAGACGCTTTATTAGTTATATGGAGTATTTCATAGGTAGAATGATTTGGGAGGTGTGGATGGTTGAGGGAGCGGTCGAGACTTCGCAGAACTGGGCCGGGGAGATAGATACCTTTGAAAAGGAACTAGGGATTGCCAAACACGTTAGATGCTCTTCAATGTATTCATGCAATGACAACGAATACTTACATCATATTCGTCGTTAGCCATGAGGGAGGATGAGGAGGGGGAAGAGCTGGAATCTCAGAGGGAAAGGGTGGACGGAAGAGTGTCTGCGTGGTCAATAGACACTGGGGATACGTAAACAAGAAAGCAGAGGTTAAGTTGACGAAAATGGAAAAGGGCGTCCCAGTCAATTGTCGTAGGTATCAAGAGGTGAGATGGACTGCGAAGGACAAGAATGTCAAGCAACTAGATGTCCGATATGGATGAACTGCGTTGTCCGTCGTAAGTTGTTAAGTTTCGAGATGGGGGACAGAGGATAACACAAAGGCTGCGTGGAGCGGCAGATTAAGTGGCTGATACCTACCAACGAGCCACTTCTGTAGGTGCACAATTCTTACCTGCGCTCAGCCAATGGGAATGGCCAATGTAGATTACTCAGCCATCCATCAATGCCAAGAAACGTTGTATATCACGTGCAGGTTCGCCGACAAAAGCTCCCAAAGAGCCGCATCCATCTTCTATCAAACAACGAAGTCGGGGACATGCGATAGATGGATATGGATAGATAGATACACAGTCATTGGTGATGAGGTGTTGGTGAGGGAGCCCAATACCAACTTTCCCCAAATTCAGGTTTCATTTGTCACGAACCGGCTCATTCTCCACGCCAGGACCCATCACCAATCATTTCATAGCTCTATGAACTGTCTTGATGTGCCTTTGACGCTTCGGCACGGCTCTAGAAGAAAAATAGCCATGAATTCAAACAGGGTTACAAGCGATGATGATGACATATCTCTCATATCTACGTGTGCTAGCGAGCCCCAGGATGAATATGAAGTGGAAACTATTCTTGCCCAGAAAGACTTTTCCACTGGAAAAGCTTATTTGGTAAAGTGGGCTGACTATCCGCTGGAGAGAGCAACATGGGAGCCCAAGGACTCCTTCTGCGATCCTACAACCTTGACAGAATGGAGACAGAAAATTTCTCGCGGGGAACATGAGTCTTTCGATGTTGATGCACTGGCGCGGAGAATCAAAGAAATTGAAGAAGCAAAGATTGACAGACACCGGAGACGTCGAGCGAAACGGATTCGCCTAGGTATTCCGGTGTCGCCTTCAACAGTCAGTTCAGGCCCAGATAGCGACGACAGTGGCTCCGACCTTGATGGCTTCATCGTTGACGATAACGTTGATGTCTTGCGGAAGAAGAGAAATCGCGTGTCCAGCAATACAAAACACACAGGCAACGAAGCAGTACTGCCATCCCGGTCCAGGAGTTCCCCAGCTAAACCATGTGCAAAGGATCACACCTCAGAATCTTTGCCACCGCCATCTACTAAAACACCGAGCAAGAAGAGTAGTAGTGATGTGTGCCCCACGACCAGGCCTGCAGCAGCAAATCACTCTTCTCTGGGATCCCCAGAAGTCAAAAAGCCTAAACCCTCAAATACCCTTCAAAGAGCTTCTTCCCAGAGCAAGACACGAGCGATTTTGAAATTGCAGACGTCAACATCCACTGACCCTCCGCATTACCCCTTGCCGCCTCAAGATCAGTCTGAAGCACCCGCCACGAGCGATGCTAGAAACATGAACTCTCAGCTTCCAGGGTCATCTATTTCCACAAGACCACTAAGTGAAATTGCTTCCATTCGTGCTAAAAAGAAAAAGTCATCGAAGCTAAACCTGTTTCGCAACTTGTCAACTAAAAACAGATACGACAAGGCCATGCACCGGGATTTAACCCCAGATATCAGGCAACTGGATTTAAGAACACCAGGTAAATGGACGCCATTGCAAAAGCCCAAAGGCCCCGCTCCAGACTCGCCATTTCCAATCGGCACGTATCGCAATTTGGAAAGCTTGTTCGTCGAACAAGATATCTCTCACCATGACTCTAACGATCGCCATAGTTTACAAAATAGCCCAACCACAGTGGATGGTTTGGTCGAGGGGAAAACTATGAACCTTCCCCGTTCAAAATACCATGCCTCTGATCAACCATCACCAAGATTGTCTCTCGACGGCTTCCCCGATAGTTACACATCTGCTGCGCACATTGACTCTCATGCATTCTCTCCAAATCAAGAAATGTCCATAAAATCAAGTAATAAGGCCGCAAAGAAAGGTATAAGAGCTAACGGCCGCTTCTTCCATTCAACAGAAGCACTTGTCCGTCTCCGGTTCGGACCAGAGGGTAAGGAGATAGGCGATGTCAGGATAGGTGGCTTGACTAAAACGACAATTTGGCAGCTGGTGCTTCTAAAATCAAAGCAGAAGATCGACATACACTTTAAAGACGTATGTAACATCGACGAATACAGACAACTGTGTCACAGGGTACGTCTTTGTTTTGACAAGGCCACACATCGATTGCTTGATCCTGACGTTCTTATTCACAGAGACAAAACCTTATGTTCTGCAGTAGTTGGGTGCTTGGCTTCGACGATACTTCCCCTGCCGTTAATGAAATGGCCAATTATTTGAGAGACAATAGATTGGCCGCTTTATGGTATCACCCTGATGAAAATATCTCTTCAGTTATGGTCGCATTTGCATTGGATTCGCCGGAGTGGAGTTTCCTCAACCAAACGTCTGACCATCCATCTGCAAAACTCCGAATTGCAGTGAGAAGCGCCCTGGCTCCAATGAGTAGTATCCAACGTACCCACGCTCTGAAAGCGACCTCTGACGGCATCGAACGTAATGCCGGCTATGAGGACAGCCTAATGCTCATGGACTCTGAGCCGACAAAGGAGATGGGTAAAAGAGATATTCCAATTCCACCTTCAATACCTTTGTCGGTCATAAAAGGGCCCACCGATATCAAGTCAACATTTCGAGAACGTTTTGGTATCACCTATGATGAGCTCAGCATAGTGAATACGTCTCACAAGAAGCGTACTGCCCGTTCCTTCTACCTACATTTTCCGGATGAGGTTGAAGATGAATTTCAGCTTGTCTTATACTTTCTAAAGCAACACGATATGGTTGTGTTTTCTAACCGAATCGAGGGAGACTGGGAGAAATTTGTCAAGACTGCAACGACCGGCACTGTTCTGGTAAGGCATCATTAGCTATACAAGTGATACTCTTTTCTGGTTAACTGATAATCGTGTATCACAGTTCCATGAAAAATTCATACATTATGATAGCATGCCTGAGTTTTCTAAACTTCTGCGAAATCCTATAAATGTGTTCAACATCTCTCTTACAGAGCCTATCAGAAACCTTCACGGTGCCAGTCACCTTGAAAGACTTTTTCCACATGGGGGAATCATTCTAATAACTGAAGATTTCATACTGAAGCACCCAAAAATCTCCTTGGATATTCTGCGATGGTTCGGACACTTTATCGAGAAAAAGTTCCCAGGGACATGGAAGATGTTTCTTAGACCCAAAGTGCAGGTTTGGTTGCTTGATCTTTGCAAAAGTTGGCCAGACGATATGTGAGTCCTTTGAAGATATTCAACTCCTTGATTCATTGGTGGCTAACTAACGATCTCGCTGTGCGTTTTCTAGACTATGGCAGATATACTATAAGATCAATAGCCTCATCCCAAAATACCCTGAAGGACATTATAACACCTACCGGCGTGAGGGCTCTCCGGACTCGCTAGATGGTCTAACAGATGACGAGGGACAACATCATCCTTTCATATCCACGCGCGAAATCCCGGATTACGGCTCGCGCCGGGAAGATGACCACCCGGATATTCCCAGGGGATTAGTCCAAGCGGAGAGAGATACAGATCATCTCGTCGAATATTTTGCCGGCCATGCGCTGATCCATGCGGAAAAGTTCCGACGATTTATAGTGCTTACCACACATAAGCCTCAGCCGCGATGGCGAGCATGGACTCACGTATGTAGATATAAATCCTATCACACTACCCCCTTGCATTTCCCCCGGCTGAAACTACGTTTTCCCTGACTTGAATGAATGGCCGCAACTAACCACTGAAACACTTCCCCATCATTAGCTCGAGATCATGGACTATCAAGAATTCAGCAAATCCTTTATGTCCTCCCACATTCCCAGCGGTAGCAAAACCAGGAAATCGTCCTCCGACTCACGTTCTGAGTACCATTCCACGTTTGGCTCGGGACAGGGTGGGGACCGCGATGCGGCTAGTAGTAAATACTCGACTCAGTCACAACGGACGGTATTGCAGTCGCCGGCATCACCGCATCGAGATCCGCGACAACATAAGTATCCTGTGGTACCTCCACCATGAAGAAGGCGATAGAGTGGCGAGGAAGGAAAGGGAAGGGGGAAAGGTGCATTGGATGCCTTTTGGGTTGTGGACGATGCGGGGATTTGATATTCTGTTTTTGCTTTTGGCATTTTGTGAAGTTATTCATCCCTTTGTTTTGGCGTTGAGTTGGGATTTTCGAAGGGAGGAAGGAGAATTCTTTTTTCATATCTCGACTTGTGCTCCTTTGGGCTTCAATTTGCTGGTAAAAATATGAATACCATCCTGTATGTATGTTCATGCATCCACATATCGACCGTTTGCTGAATAATTTTCTACAATCCAATTCCATCTACCCTTCACGGCATGTCGAATGATGCGGATGATTTGAAGCATATTGTTAGATGATAACTCAAGAACATCAACAAGAAGATTCTAAACATGCCCTTTCCATTTAAGTCATTACTAAGTTCATGAGCTACGTGACAACCGCCTAATCAACCACCTCCACTCTACCATCACCTAGATAGATGCCTATGGTCGTAACAATGAAAGGGGTGGCTGAAGATATCAAAAGAAAGAAACTCAAGAAATTCATATCATCGTCAAAAGCATTGCTCCGGTCCAAAACGAAACAAAACAGGAAACAAACAATAAAGCATTAGCAAACGGAAAAGACCTCGGTATGTTAGCTCCACAAACTGGAGAGGGAGAACGGGGAGAAGGACAGACACTTAGTAAACCGTGAGGAACCGTGAGGAAAGGAGAAATCCGTAAGACGCGGAAAGGATGAGAGTTGCGGCATGTGCTGTGCATGGAGGGTGTAAGTATCGATGAACATTCGAAAAGCAGTAGTATCGTAAATGGAGTTCAATTTCAAGGGATAACATCAAGCATCATCACCCAGCCGTGAGCAGAGTCTCGTGAGCAAGGTCTATGATTTCATGACCCAAAAAGCCCTATAACGGAAAGAAATGGAAGTTGCTATCCGCAGCACTTCCAAACCAAATAAATTTAGTTACGTTAACACATCACGAAACCCCCCCGACAGCCGCATCCGTCCTTGATCGAGATCTCCATTGTTCAAAGCTAATATCTCGATCATTACCCTCCTGACCCTCCTTCTGCTTTCTCATCTTATCCTCCCACTCGCTCTCCTCCGCTGCAATCATGGCATGGAACTTCCCACCCTGGCCTCGAGCAAGATACGCTGCCTTCGCCTTTCGGGAAGCAACGTCTTCAGTGACGAGGACAAATTTAACACTTGATCCTGGTGCTTCGAACATCGCGTCGCCCAGAATCATTTCCATTTCTGTTCGCAGACCGCGGGCCCCGGTGGCCATTGACATTGCATTGCTGGCTATTTTGTGTAGGGCTGGTGTAGTGAAACGGAGTTCAATGCCTGAGAGGGCGAAAAGAGTTGTATACTGGGCCAATAGGGAGTTGCGTGGCTCTGTTAAAATGCGGAGTAGAAGGCGGTGGGTGAGTTGGGAAAGCGCGGTTGTGATGGGGATACGACCCACGAGTTCGGGAATGAATCCATACGTTTGGAGATCAGGGGGCGTCAGAAGATCTAGGGGGTTGAAATAAGTTGGTTCTTCGTCCGCGGAACCGGATGTGGAAGGCATTGGCGCTGGGGTGAAAAATGGGAGATGCTTCTTATATAGGGCTTCCTCCGCAGAGCCCGGAAGAATGGGGATAGGCGGGCTAGAAGCTCCTTGCGACGGATTTTGCGAGCTAAACGAACTTGTTAACGCCCGTACTGGCTGGCCAAATCCAATGGAGCCACGAGATATCCTATCCATGATCACTTTGTTCAGGCCTACAAAGGCACCTGAGAAGATAAAAAGGATGTTGTCTGTCCGCACATTGTAGACTTCAGCCTTTCCAGATGACCCTGGTGGGGCTGGTGAAGAGAATGACGACCCTCCAAAGCTACCACTGCCACCCGGGTTGGAGTTCAACGATCCACCAGAACGGGGAGCGTTTCGTTCTGGCTTGGCTTGGATCTGAACGGTTGTGCCTTCAATTATTTTCAGCAAAGCTTGCTGGACGCCTTCCCCGCTCACATCCTTTCCATGGCTGACTTTTGCTGTGGCGATTTTATCGACCTCGTCAAGGCAAATTATGCCTCTTTCCGCTTGGGCTACGTCGTAATTAGCGGCAGCCAGTAACCTATGTACGCATACATCTGCATCCTCTCCAATGTAACCAGCCTGAGTGAGCGGAGTGCAGTCAGACATGCTAAATGGCACAGAGAGTACGCGAGCTAAGGTTTTGGCCATCAGGGTCTTGCCTACGCCCGACGGACCAAGGAGCAGGATATTGGACTTTTCCAGAGTCAATGGAGAAGTGTCGACGGGTAGTGGTTCCGGTCGCGATATGTCATCATTGGCTGCATGTGTATGAATGGTCCGTTGCTGACCTGGGAATTCAGCTAGAAAGAATCAGAAATCAGAATCGTTAGAGCAAGTCCAAAAGTTGTGTATATCAATTGCAACACTTGAAGCCAAGATAAACAACCAAAAATGGGCATACTCTCTACAGGATGGCTTTCCACCGACTCACGACGTGCTTGCTGGGCCATCAACTCCTCTTCCTCTTCCTCCCTCCGCTGTAGCTCCTGCACTCGCTGATAGTGATTGTAGACAGCGACACTCAGAACCTTCTTCGCCCGATCCTGCCCAACTACGAACTGATCCAGGTGTTGTTTAAGCATTTTCGGGGTCAATCGAGGGGTACCAAAGGAGGGTGCGGAGCCCAATGGGCCGGAGGTGGGGAGACCGGGCTCATAGCTGCCCGTATATGGCTGATTGGTAAAATCTGAGCGGTGGAACTGGGATGGGGAAGGGCATGAGGAAGAAGTTGAAAAGTGACGATGAATTGAATAGAGGGCTAGATACGATATGCGAACCCGTTGGCGGGCGGAAGATGTTGCCGCCGTTGTAGTTGTCCAGTCGAGGGGTCTAAGCGGGGATCTGAAAGGGCGGAGAAAGCTCATGGAGAGTCGCCTCATTGCTGTTCATCAGCTATCGTAAAGAAGAAAATGAGAAATCAAAGCCAAGGTACCGTCTTGAAGCAGACACCTCAAGGGAAAGCTGCTTGAATATCAGTCAATGCAATGACGAGGTCGTAGGCCACCATTTCCGCCGCGAAAGCGGAGAGGCACGTGCGCATTTACGTCAGTGTCACGTGGTTTGCACCCACGATTATCCATCTGCAGGTCAGGGGCATTGAAACAGATTAATGTTGAACTGGCTATATTGTTGTTGGCTTCCCATGGGTGACCCCAATGAGATAAAGAATAAAAAATATAGTTATATCTTTATATTAACTTATAGAAGCCCTGGTATTAATGCATTTATTTGCACTCACATCCCCAAAATCAACCAGGAAAACGAAATGCTACTTGTTGTTCTATACTAAGGCTGCGTGCTTCAACTGCTGTTCCGACCAATGGGGTTTCGCTGGCTTTATTTGAAAACGTATTGTCCTCTTCAAATTCTAGAAGATCCATTTCATACATTTTATAAGGTAACATTTGGTGTGTGACGCTAAAACAAGTGGACATGAAACTAAATTGAATTGAATTAGAGATATTAATAGAAGTATTTTTTTAATTACATATTAAATGAGTACTTTAATGAAATAGATATGTGAATGTTTTGATTTTACAATCATAATAAGAAACTCAATATAAGATTAGAAACTTTGAAAAAAGTATCAAATTTTAAATTTATAGTAGAAGAATTAAATTTGAATAACTTAAAAAATTTATTTTTTAGATTAAAAATTATATTAAATTAAAATAATATAAAATTCTACTATTACTTTAATATAAATATATTTTTATTATTTGAATTGTACTTTTTAACTATAATAATAATAATATAAATATAAATTTATTTTTTTAATTTATTTTTATAATTTTTAATTTATTTTTATATTTTTTAATCATTTATAGAGTTTATTATTTTAATTTTTAAATCTTTTTTTTTTAATTTTATAAATAATTATTTGAATAATTTATTACTTATATTTTATTTATATTTTTTTTTAAAATATAAATTTTATTAAATTATATTAAAGTTATTTTTATACTTATTAAGTAATATTATTTTTTAAATTAATAAACTGAAGTTATTTATAAATTTATTAAATTTTAAATAATAAAAAAATTATATAAAAAAATTATATTTAATTAATATATTTATAATTAAATATATTTAATTATTTTTTATATTATTAATATTTTTTAATTATATAAAATCTTAATTAAGATTTTATTTTAATAAATAAAAATTTTATTATTAAATATAAATTTTTTATTAATATTTATAAGTTTTTTATATTTATTATAAAGTATATTTTATATAAGTTAAATTTTTATTATAGTATATTGTATAAACAATTATAAAAATAAAAATTTTATTAAAATCTAACTTAATAGAAAATAATAACTATTTATAAAATAGATAAAAAATATATTTAAATGTAAAAGAATAAATATCAATAATAATAAAAATAAATTAAATATTTTTAACTGTAAAAAATTATTTTTATGTAAAGTTAAAAACTTTGATGAAGTTTTATTTTATTATTTTAATGAATTTTAATTCATTGCTAACAGTATTAGATAATATTACTACTGTAATATGATAACTTTAACTATAAAAGTAATAGTAATTATTTAGCAATTATTTAAAAATTACTCTATGAAAATTATTTAATAATAATATAACAACTATTTAATAAACAACTATTTTATAGAGACTGTTTAGCAATAATATAGTAATTATCTTATAAATAATTATTTCACAGAGAGATTATCTAGTAACAATATAGTAATTACTAGTAAAAAAAGATATAAAAAAATTCTTTTATAGATTTTTATTTTATAAATTATTTTAATATTTATTTAATTAGTTTATTTAATTGATAATTAAATATTTATTTATCTATATCTAAATTAAAACTATAATAATTGCAAATTAAATTATTAATTTTATAAAAATATATATTAATTAAAAAATTAAAAATTT